CATTTCAGGCCAGCAATTTCCAGAGGCGAAATTGCTAGCTGAACATGATTTTTAGAATTTTTTTTATCTATGACGTCATTTTCGGTTGGGGTTAGTCTGATTTCCAAAATGGCCGCCAAAAGTTGACGTAAAATGAATTTCCAGATAGGATGGGTGATTTTCATGCAAGGTATGGCTTGTAATATATCATATATAAGGTTTTTGTTGTAATTGAACTGAAAAATAATCTTTAAAACTAGTTTCCCCAAATCCAAGATGGCGGAAATTCAAAATGGCGGCTAAAATTTACCTAAAATGGCCGATTTGTCAGATTAAAGTCATTTCACAGTTTGATTTGGTTTGTAATATGTAATCTAAAGGGTTTTCACTGTCACTGAACTTAAAATTAATCTAAAGAAAAAAAGAGTTTTCAAAATCCAAGATGGCGGAAATTCAAAATGTCGACCAAAATTTATCTAAAATGGCCGATTTGTCAGATAAAAGTCATTTCACTCTTTGATATGGTTTGTAATACGTAATTTAAAGGGTTTTGAATGTCATTGAACTTAAAATCAATCTAAAATAGAGTTTCCAAAATCCAAGATGGCGGAAATTAAAAAATGGCGGCCAGATTTTCTCTAAATTGATCAATTTTTAAGATAATCGTCAATTTTCTGTTTGATATGGCTTGTAATATGTCCTCTATTAAGTTTTCAGAGTCACTGAATTTTATAATAGTAGATGATTGTTTCAGAAAAAAAAGGGACAATCACCAATCTTTCTATTGGATTGGTTTATAATAGCAAATTGTAATAGTTTTTTTAGGGCAACTGAATTTGACCTGACCCAGGAATCTACCTTAATCTAAAGAAAAAAAGAGTTTTCAAAATCCAAGATGGCGGAAATTCAAAATGTCGACCAAAATTTATCTAAAATGGCCGATTTGTCAGATAAAAGTCATTTCACTCTTTGATATGGTTTGTAACACGTAATTTAAAGGGTTTTCAATGTCGTTGAACTTAAAATCAATCTAAAATAGAGTTTCCAAAATCCAAGATGGCGGAAATTAAAAAAATGGCGGCCAGATTTTCTCTAAATTGATCAATTTTTAAGATAATCGTCAATTTTCTGTTTTGATATGGCTTGTAATATGTCCTCTATTAAGTTTTCAGAGTCACTGAATTTGATAGGGGGGTTGGATGGCTGAATGGTTAGCATGCGCGCGCTGTATCATAAAGTCTGTCATTGAGTCGACTGGCGTGATTTTGAATCCCCGGTTGTACGTGGCAAGGAGTAGGGTCGCCTGTCCAACCTCGTGGGTTTTCTCCGGGTCCTCTGGTTTCCTCCCACTGCTAAAGACCCCTACGCACAAGCCAATTATGTAAATAAAATTAAACCATATGTTAGTCCCGAAATGACCTAGTTTGTGTCGAGTGGACGTTAAACCCCATTTCTCTCTCTTTCTCTCTGAATTTGATAATTGAAGATGATTGTTTCAGAAAAAAAAGGGACAATCATCAATCTTTCTCTTGGATTGGTTTATAATAGCAAATTGTAATACTTTTTTAAGGGCAACTTAATTTGACCTGACCCAGGAATCTACCTGTCAATAAATAAACCATGTGCAGAACTTACCAGTCAGCTAATTAGAATTTCAATAATTTAACCTTAAGACACAATAAATGTAGCTTAATTGTTTTTATGCATAAAACCCCCATAACAATACAACGGGGCCAACTGACGCATTTTTAATTTCATCTCCTTTGTTTTTGCACCATTTTACCGGAGTGAGAATCATTTGTGGTATATCCAGTCGTTAAGAATTTAAGTTCTCCTATTCGTTCAGAAATGGTAATGTGGTCCGTTTTTGCATCGAAGACTCCGTGTCCAGTAACTTTTGTGGTATAGTCTAGATGTTGTATCCACAGGTCATTTTCGTCAGTGACGTATTTCACAACAAGTTCTACATGTAAGAACAACACATAAGAAAAGAGGAAATCGTGGGGGATGACTTTTGGGATACCTAGTCGTAAATGCATTTCCAATTATTTTCGTGATGATTATTTTTAACTTAGAACTTGGTGTGCATTACATTACAGACGAATATGATCTGTGGATACCATACCACACAAGTTGCCGGACACAGAGACTTCGATGATTCATTTTACACTTTTCACTTTATGAAATACATGACTGACAAATATGAATTCATCTGTCTAGATGATACCACAAACGGTTTCCGGACATAAGTCTTCTGAACAAAAGTTAATAAATATTGATATTCGTCAAGCAGTGTGCTATGAGGAAAATTGGCCCAGACAGTGGTACTATGGTGTACTCTTATTTCGAATTCCAACTGTCTAGGGTTCTTGTATGCGCACGTCAACGTGTACATATAAACCTGGTTTCTCGAGAAGCCCCCGGTGCTGCATCCTGACAAGGAGAAACCACACTGGAAAATCCTAAGGTACTTTTTCAGCAAACATAGGGATCGAACCCCAGATCTCGTTCTTAGCGAGTCTTACTCACTGAACCACTGTTTCGAACCATTTCTGAATAAACAATAGATAAATTCTTAACAACTGGATATATATACCTCACTGTTTTGCTGGAATAATATTAAATCTTGTTTATGTGAGATCCAGTATAACAGTTCCAGTTACCATCAAAATAACTACTACTCTATGCTATTACAAGCCAATCCAAGAGGAAAATTCACGATTGTCCTGTTGTATTTTTAAGCAATCATCTACCATCTTCAAAATTCATTTTTGATGTAATATTCATTTTCAAAATTCATTTTTGAGGTAATATTCATTTTCAAAATTCATTTTTGAGGTAATATTCATTTTCAAAATTTATTTTTGAGGTTATTTTCAAGTTTGTGGACTTTGAAAACCTAATAAAGGACATTATTACAAGCCATACAAAACCGAAAAAATGACGATTATCTGAAAAATCGTTCATTTTAGGAAATTCTGGTCGCCATTTTGGATTTTCAACCATCTTGGATTTTGGAAACTCTTCTTTTGAGGTTGTATTTAAGTTAAGTGACACAGAAAACCCTTTAAATCGCATATCACTCGCCATATCAAACTTAAAAATGACGATTATCCGAAAAATCGACCATTTTAGGGAAATTCTGGCCGCCATTTTGAATTTCCGCCATCTTGGATTTTGGAACCCCGTTATATTTAGATTAATTATAAGTTTAGTGACACTGAAAATCCTTTAAATTACATATTATAAATCATATCAAAGAGTGAAATGACTTTTATCTGACAAATCAGCCATTTTAGGTAAATTTTGGCCGCCATTTTGAATTTCCGCCATCTTGGATTTGGGGAAACTAGATTTAGAGATTATTTTTTCAGTTCAATTACTAAAAAACCTTATATATGATATATTACAAGCCATACCTTGCGTGATAATCACCCATACTATATGGAAATTAATTTTTCGTCAAATTCTGGCGGCCATTTTGGAAATCAGACAAACCCCAACCGAAAATGACATCACAGAAGTGAAATAATCTCATAATCGTCTTCAGTGACAAATTTTGCCTCAGAAACAACCCGACCCCAAACTTTGTTCCGATTGTGACACCCCTAGGTTCATGTCCTAAAGATGTGGAAAGCGGACATACCCTCAAAACCGATCCCCACATACAGCGTATGACCCGTGCACTCTTTTCTTAATACATATCTTGGAACAACCCATGGTCGTCTAGTATGTTTCTCTACTTCCTGTTCTGACATTCCACGTTAATGACAGCTTCACGTTGTGATTGCGTATACTGCATCTTAAAAAGTATGATTAACCGGAACAACAAATACAAGAGTTTCTCGATTACAATTTTATGTCAAGCTGGATACACATGGTTACAATGCATAATCTATTATATTAGCATACTTAAAGGAGCTAAATCGCTAATATTTTGGATCTAGAAATTGACACAAATGGGTCGCAACGCATATAATAATGTAATGTGAATGTATATAAACTGATTTACATATAATCGTTTCTGTTTTTACTCTGATTTCAAATTAGTTATGTTCGGCGAAATACGCCAGAAGTCTCAATCGAATGGCAATCTCTAGCGTCTGATTATTCAAGTCTACAACGATAGTATCTATTGCGAATCCTATCCAAATAAGAATATGGCGTCACCGCTTGACGTGACTTGTGGAATATGCCTAGTCTCGTTTTTCGGGTCCCTCGTTACAAAATGTTTATTTTATCTTAAATATTGGATATCATAAGCCCATGTTTTCCCGGTAAGATCACAACATCAATGTTGATTTAAATTGGCAAATAATTCGCGTTTTGAATGTCGAAGATTTTGGATGATATTGAGTTAGAGACTTAGCTACTTTAAAATTAACATCTTTCTCTCTGCCCCAACTCCTGTACAAGTCTAAATAGCATGGCTAGACTCGGGAAACCGCTACATCATAATAATATGGTCATCTAAAGAACCAGGGTGATGTCTACCCTCTCTGAGAATTCTGCGACAGTCTCTAGGAACTCAGTTGGTAATCTCTACGGAACACGCATGGTATCTGTCCGGAACCCAATGATATCTCATCGTAAAGGCCCGGTAGAGTCTCTTTTATAGGACCTTGGTATTGGCCCTGAAGTCCATCACGCTCAGATCTGTGCAATTACTGATATGATTGGATGGTAAGCCAAATGATGCAATAGTAATTTTCCAACACAAGTAATGGCATGATATAATTTTAATCGACCCATAAAACATTTCATGTATCGAACTGTCTTGGTTTCTGTTATTCTCAATTTATCTCAAAACAATAAATTGGCTCATACATGTACTAACATTGAAATTTGCAATTAACCAAAGCTGATAATGTTTCCAATATCTATTCCCATATTTACCTAAAACCCACACATATGTTAATACAGAGCATATACCCCCTATCAATATTCTTACAGTGTTACACAATCATATTATTTATTTTACGGCCTTACTTCTAGTCTACATGTTTTACAATGTTTTGTAGGCTCGAATAAGAAGAGAAAACCAGTTATGATGATACATGGTGGGGCGTGGGCTATGCCAGATAAAATGGTAGAAGACACTAAAAAGGGAATTAAAGATGCTGCATTGGCAGGATATAGAACTCTACGCGATGGAAGATCAGCCGTTGATGCTGTTGAAGCAGCCATAGTTTCTCTAGAAAATAATCCTAATTTTGATGCGGGTAAGTCGAAGTGTGTGTACGTAAAAAAGGGGTTAACATACATGGATTCTAAATTAAGTATCTTTCTGTCCCTAATTTTCAGATAGGTATGTTGGGGATAGTTAGGATGTTGCCAAGGTAGCGAGTGACATTGTCGCATTCCCCGCCTACACCAATCACTACACAATGCGCAACTGCTTCTGTGTGTCATTTCCATAAAAACTAATTGGAAAAAAAATCCTACTTTCCTGTTGTTACTCTTTTCCTGATATAATCTCATTGTTTGATAACTAGTAGTCATATCTAAACACGGACGAGTGTTTTATTAATAAATACTTCTATGCATTAGTTCAGGGAAATCTCAGACCAGGATATGATTCCTACTGCTCCAACAACCTAGTCCACGAAAAAAATAAAATAAAAATCCGACCAAGAAAGACAAAAATTGATTAACTAATAGGAATATAGCCTTGATTCCAGTCTAATTATAGACCTATCTAGATCTGTATAATACACCGCATTGCATTAATCTATTCAATTAAAGAATGTAATTTCTGACATTCTAATTTTGGAAAGTATGTCTTCAGCGTTTAAAGAAGTTTTTATAGAAAGCACACAAGTGTAATGGTGTCGATAACTGGCAACCCGCCTGCTCTCGAGTGAAGTGCGGGGTGCTTCGTACGTGTTGATCATTGCTAGCGTTTGTGTGAATATGCAGAGACTTAAATGTTCAATAGATTCTGCGAATAAACGTAGGAAAAAGAAGTTGACTGGGCAGACAATCCAAGACTTTACTAAGGCTACGATATTCATGGTAAATAGACAGCAACTAACGACAAATACAGTCTGTAATTGGATCCTCGTTCAATCAAGTCACGTAACAAACAAGGTTGCTTAAACAGGTTCTAGCGGCAAGATATATGATCAAAGCAAAGCTAATGTTTTCGCTGATATTTTGTAGGAAATGGTTCAGTATTAACTGCCGATGGTAAAGTTGAGATGGATGCTATGATAATGGATGGCAGTACTTTGAACGCTGGTTCTGTTGGGTGTGTAAATAACATAGCTAATCCTATCAAATTAGCCAGAATGGTCATGGAAAAGGTAGGACTTTATCTATATATTTTAAAATTTTAATTGAAGACACGTTTCCCATTTCTAGATATGTCATTTCGAGAGAGAGAGAGAGAGGGGTGGGGAGGTTAACGTCCACTCGACACAAACTTGGTCATTTCGCAAATGGTTCAATTTCATTTCATTAATTCGCTTGTAGGTAAGGATCTTTAGCAGTGGGAGTGGGAGAAAATCGGAGTACCCCCCACCCCCCATCACACACACACATACCCACCGCCGATTCAAACAAGAATGGTTATAAAACTGTGAAAGTCACTCCACTAAATAGATGAAAATAGGGAGACTCGGACAACGTTAAGTGTTATTTTACGAAGGGTTTGTTTAACGAGGGGTTTGGGGTTTTTTTTTTGCAACATAACTCAATTACAGTATATAGGATAATAAACTGGTTCCCCTTACGAGGTAGAACTCCACGCGCTATTAAAAATTTTAAAAAATAAGGAATTATTAAACAGTGGGTAAAGCTGTTCGCAACGCCATACATACACAGTTTATATACCGTTTTCATAATGTTGACCATATTTTAGATTTTATTAGAAGTAGATCAGATTTATAAGATATTATTATTATTATAATTAAAGACAGATCATGTACTATTTGTGGGTGAAGGAGCTAACAGGTTTGCTCATGAAATGGGTGTACCACAAGTATCCACGGACTCATTAATCGGTGAATACGCTAAAGAAGAATGGGAAAGATTCTCAAGTGGTGAATATGCATCTTGTGTTAGTACCATGTTTAAAAGACGGTAGGTTAAAGTTCAAATAAAATAAAGATTGAAATAAACAGGCACACTTGACGTCACATCCAGATCATACCGTCACCTTACAAACACGAAGATAGGATATTCTGTATGACGGGCCAACAATCAGATTAAAATGCAGATCTATATTTCGTTTCGTTTTTTGATACTTTCGATGGCCTACACTACTTGAAGATCTGACCGGTTATAGTGGGAGGTCGCGTCATGGGTCAGACATGGGTCATGGACACTATGACGTCAGACATTTGATTAACCAACACGCATTGATGTTTCTAGTGGGTTACCCACAGGAGTGAGAGAAAACCACCCGAGTTTGGACACGTACAAACGGGGAATTGAAACCACGCCACTTGACTCAATGACAGACCTTATGATACAACGCACACGCGTTAAACATTCCGTCACCTAACCCTTCAAAAACTCTCGACTAAATTATAGGGTACAGGCAATTACTGTATGCATTAATAAAATGAGTACTATATACATAATTTGAGGCGTGAAGGATTGAAGGTCCAACATAACTTTCAAGGTCCCGCAAGTACGTTGTTTTTGTAATGAGTGCTAAAATTATATTGTACATATTGTTTTTGTGTGCTAAACGTAAAGGACAGGGCTGGACTCATTTGCTGTAATGTATTCACCTTTGTCTATACTCCCTCAAAGTATAACATTATACCAACTTTCAACCCCTTCTGTTTTATTGAAGTCTTTATGTAGAATCTAAATCGTTTCTCAACATAACAGAGAAATTAAAAAAAAGTCGCCGATACATAAATTGAAAAGTTTTGACTTTAAAATTTTAATACTTAATATTTTATAGAGATGTAAAACAATCTGGACATGACACAGTCGGAGCTGTAGCTGTTGACGCAGACGGTAACGTTGCATGTGGAACATCAACTGGTGGTATAACATTTAAAAAGCCAGGTCGAGTTGGTGATACACCTCTTGTTGGTAAGTTCAACAATTTTATTCTTCAGAGAGAAAAAGACCAAACCACACACCTTTGTCGTACAAAAAAAAAGATATAAAAAGACACTATGAAACACATCATCTAAGTAAAACGGTGGTTACGAGACTGGGCTCGTTGTTGAAATACGGCCTTCACCCTACAAACTTAAAGAGTTTTCCTTGTCACATGATACTGATGGAAATATGATGGAATTTCTGGTAGCCTTACAGTTTTCCAACGGCTGTGTTTTTATGTGCTGGCTGATTTTTAGCCAAGGCTCCAAGGCTGCAAGACAGATTCTAACATGAGAGTGTCCTTGTAGCCCGGTTCGATACACATCTATGGTGAACGCGAAACCGCCACCGTTCCGTCATAATAAATTTACTCCAGTATCTAACCAACCATAGTGCATAAAAATTAATAGTTTTTACTTTTATTGTAAAAACAAAGACTATCTCTTAATGTAAAAAGATGCTAGCTTTTAGTTTCAAACATTATATATGTCAAACATTACTATAGCTTTTAGTGTCCGGATTATGCGTTGGAACGTGGACATCATTCCCTTTTGAACATTCTTTCGGAGACACGGTGGCTCGGTGGGTAAGTACTTAGGATTGTCCGGGTCGGTTCCCCCTTGTCAGTGATGCAGGACGGAGATCCTGGCATGGAATAGCATCTTGTCGTTCGGAGGGGTCGAAATCCAGGTCCCGTTTATACGTTGGCGTGCAAATCATCCCTTAACAGCTGAAATTCTATGATGAGCAGGAATTCTATGAAGAGCTGGTGGAAACGTCGCTGCACTTGGACATTAAACCCCATTTCATTCCATTCCGTATTGTTCCATTATTTTATTACTTTATAATAATTATACCGTTACTTTATAATGCCGTTATTGTATCAAGGACAGCTGTTTAGACGTTCTGTTCGGACGAAAAACCGAGGTCCCGTGTACACATTGGCGTGCATGTAAAAGATCCCTTGACAGTTGGAATTCGATACAAGAGTAGGCCGCAGTGCCGCTGTCCGGGCAAAATTTCCCTCCTAGCACACTGTATGGCGTATGCCCGTCTTCAGTAGCCCAGTTCGGAGCAGAACAGTAGGACGTTAAACCCCATTTCATTTCCGTTATTGTATATTATGCACAGGTTGTGGAGGATATGCTGATAACAAGACGGGCGCAGTTTCTACAACTGGACATGGTGAAGGGATGATTAAAGTATGTTTAGCTAAACATGTTACAGTTCTAATGGACCAAGGTAAGCATATCAAAGTTCCCCTTTTATTCCTTCTTAGACAAAATCCTATTTGTGCTTCATGCCAAAACCACATTTAAACTAAATCTTACTTGTGTTTCATATCAAAGACCCCTTAATATCACTCTTACCTGTGCTTCATATCAAAGATCCCTTAATATCACTCTTACCTGCGCTTCATATCAAAGATCCCTTAATATCACTCTTACCTGTGCTTCATATCAAAGACCCCTTAATATCACTCTTACCTGCGCTTCATATCAAAGATCCCTTAATATCACTCTTACCTGTGCTTCGGATCAAAGAGAAAATGAGAGAGATTACCAAAGGCCAGTATGACAATGATCTTTGAATGCTGTGGTTTTCAGGAATATACAAGTTCCCTCTAAAATTATAAATTACTTAAATCTGATATTTACACTTGACAATATGGTGAACATATATGTAGAAAATGATTTACGCCCCATTTTTCTGCTTCATGTGTTGGGGGACCGAGGTGGCTCACCGAGTAAGACGTTGGCTCGCTGACCTACAGGTATCGTATAGGGACAACGTATAGTCGTTAGGGTGGGACGTAAAACCGAGATCCCGTGAATTCATTGGCGTGTCCGTAAATGAACTCTTGGAAGTTGGAATTCCATTAAAGGGGAGACCATAGAGAGCAGAACAATGGGACGATGAACCCCATCTCATTTTATTTCATGTTTGCTTCGTGTGTTATTTCTCCGATCTTTGACATTTTTATTGTAGGTTCAACAGCCCAGGAAGCAAGTGTTAAAGCAGTGGAAAGTTTGAATGATCGTGTTCAAAGTTCCGGCGGAGTTATAGTTGTTAGTAAAGATGGTGATATAGGGCAGTATTTCACCACAGATAGAATGGCTCGGGCATGGGTTAAAGACGATCGAGTTTTTTATGGTGTTGAAACTGATGACATAATAAGCTGTCCAGTTTGAGTCTTAAAACCATAAAATTATCTCTTTTTCCTGATCTATGCATAGTATTCTTTTAATTTCCTATTTTTAATTTCCTATTTTTAATTTCCTAAATTCATTTTGAATTTCCTAAATTCATTTTGAATTTCCTAAATTCATTTTTAATTTTGTAGAATAATATTTAATTTTGTAGAATAAATTTTAATTTTGTAGAATAATATTTAATTTTGTAGAATAAATTTTAATTTTGTAGAATAAATTTTAATTTTGTAGAATAAATTTTATAAATTTTAATTTTGTAGAATAAATTTTATAAATTTTAATTTTGTAGAATAAATTTTATAAATTTTAATTTTGTAGAATAAATTTTAATTTTGTAGAATAAATTTTAATTTTGTAGAATAAATTTTAATTTTGTAGAATTGTCTAATTAAATTTGTATAATAAATTTAATTTTGTAGAATAAATTTAATTTTGTAGAATAAATTTAATTTTGTAGAATTAGTAGAATAAATTTAATTTTGTAGAATAAATTTAATTTTGTAGAATAAATTTTAATTTTGTAATTTTGTTTTCAATTTCAATTTGTATTCAGAACCAAAAGACCCACTCATATCTTTCACAGTAATAGGCCTAGTATTACTACTGGAATGCCCTGTTGCCATGGGAGCCATGGTTGTTAAGTGAGTAAGACTCGCTATATAGCCTAGAGGTCGCTAGTTCTACCCGGTATTGGCCTAGAAAGTTTATCGGTATATGGAGGGGGGGGGGGGTGCGCATTGAATCAGAAAGTCTGTCATTGAGTCAAGTGGCGTGGTTTCGATTCTCCGCTTGTACGTAACAATATGTATTGGGTCGCCTGTCCAGCCTCATAGGTTTTCTCCGGGACATCCCACTGCTAAAGACCCCTACGCGCATGCTAATTATTGACATAAAAATGACCGAGTTTGTGTTGAGTGGACGTTAAACCCCATTTCTCTTTCTCTCTCATCGATATCTTCCGGCGGGGTGATCCCCTTGTCAGTGGTGCAGGACAGATGGTCTGACAAGGACAGCGGTCTAGTCCTTTGGATGGGACGAAAAACCGAGGCCCGGTGTACACATTGGAGAGCACATAAAAGTCCCACTGGCAGTTGGAATTCGATGTAAGAGTAGGCCATAACGCTGCTGTCCATGCAAAATTCCGCTCAAAGCACACTGTATGACGTATGTCCGTCATCATCAGCCCAGTCATTAGCCCATTTCATTTCATTTCATATCATTTCCCTGTTGCCATTTTGTTGATAACAGACGTTTGTACTTTCGGCACAGCTCGGCTATTTTGATACTTCCATTTGACCTCAGCTGCACACCTTTCAGTTTCAAACGCGTTATCTTTAATGAAACTGGCTACTTTGCAGGGTAAGCGTAGACAAATTGTACAGGCGAGCTACATAATGTGATGAAGATCACAGAATGAGCCGCGGTTTGCCGAATAGTGCTCAAGAAAAATAGAAATTGTTTTTGCAAAAAATAAAATTATATAAGAAAATTATAAATTATTTTACAAAATTATAAATTATTTTACAAAATTATAAATTATTTTACAAAATTATAAATTATTTTACAAAATTATAAATTATTTTACAAAATTACAAAATTATAAATTATTTTAAGAAATGGAAATTATTTTACAAAATGGAAATTATTTTACAAAATGGAAATTATTTTACAAAATGGAAATTATTTTACAAAATGGAAATTATTTTACAAAATGGTAATTAAAATACAAAATATAAAATTGTAAGTTCAAAATATAAAATTGTAAGTTCAAAATTGTAAATAAAAGTTTAAAATTATGAATTAATTACAAAATTAATCTTACAATATTGGAAATTCAAAATAAAAATTAAAGATTAATTTTCAAATTAGTCTACAAAATCCAAAATTAAAAATAGAAATTAGAAATAGTTCCTACTTGAGCTTCCGTATCAATGAACTACTCTCATTTCGAATTCCAGCTGTCAAGGGTTCTTTTACGTGCACACCAATGTGAGCACAAGATCTCGGTTTTCCGTCATATCCGAAGGACAGGTCATATGTCCTACACCATTAACAAGGGGAACTTTCTCGACTAACACTGGGATCGAACCCCGCGTTAGTTACCAAAAACAGAAGGTGATAGGGTGTGTCCTCATAACCACAATGCTTCACACCAAATTTGAAAAAGATCATTCAGTCATCTGTAGCTTCATTGGGCGTATAATAATAGATATCAAAATTACGAATGAAGATGTGCTATAAACCATTTTACATACACGTCAACCTTGGGCACAGTAACTTTAATTTAAACATGCTATTTTATAATTACCCCGAACCAGCAATTAGGTACAATAAGTCTATCCGGGGCGGATCCAGGGGCAGAGCCTGCTCAGCTACATAATTTTTTTTGTAAAACAACACTTTTCATGACGTCAAAATGGCGTTAAGACCATGTATTTCTCAAAAGATTTCAGGGGGGGGGGGGATACATTGTCTCAGAAACCTGGCAAACCCCCTCCTGCAAAAATTACTGGATCTGCCCGGGTCGAACCCCCTCCCCCTACCCCCCTGCTCAGTTACATAAAAGAATTGTAAAACAACACTTTTATGAGAAAAGTGTGACGGTTGTATGCTTTGTCTTTGATCACCAGATCTGCCCGGGTCGAACCCCCTCCCCCCCCCCCACCCCCCTGCTCAGTTACATAAAAGAATTGTAAAACAACACTTTTATGAGAAAAGTGTGACGGTTGTGTGCTTTGTCCTTTATCACCAGATGGTGGGATGGGATGTGCATTCAAAGCGCGATGATGGAGACGATGATGGCATCATGCATTGTAAAATGTCAAATTTTCTTAACAGGAACCCAGCAAACCCCCTCCTGCAAAAATTCCTGGATCCGCCCCTGCAAATATTTGTAATTTACATGCATGTGGAATTGTAATTCAAATGACTTTGTCATAAAATACCAATATAAATGTACTTGTCTCGTGCATCAAAAATAGAAATATATATAAAGGTAGCTCAAAATCCATCACTACATAGGCTAAAGCAATACTAAATAAACATTTGGACTAAAATATTTTTGTCCGAGTTTGTAACAGTCAATTCTGTTCTATGAATAGCTTGTTTCGAACAGATACCCTCTCACATGTATTAAAGGTTTTATTGAATTGGAATAGAAACTGACAACAGATTAACAACCTGTGTTGAATATTTTATTCAAATATTGTGAAAGGGTTGACAATAAAATTGAAATTCATTATTGTGGTTATTAAACACTGAATCGTCCTATTCAGTTATACAGGCGTCTCAACATGCTGTTGCCCAAGGCCGATTTTGTTGGATTTTTTTCCTGAAGTTGCACTAAAATAGACCTTTCACAAAAAGCAAGAATGATTTGTTTAAGATTTTTTTCCCCAACTCATGTATGGGGTGTTTGGACCAATTGCAAAAGATCAAAAGCAAAACAGAATGATTTAAAGAGTTTTAAGACTATTGCTTCCATAAAATCAGAACGGGAAATTTTAAAGGGCCATTTACCTTTCTAAATGAATCATTAAATAATGTGGAGGAGGTGGGGTGGGGGGGCGCACTTAAAATAACATTTATCACATGATGTATGGTTGGTGTGCTTACAATCTGAACGATAGACCCACCCCTACCTGAAGAGAAGTGCTCATTTAATTTTCGTACGTTAGTTACGTACGGTGTGCTTATTCTTTCCATTTCACCCATCTCATCTTTAGGAGGGGAAAAAGAGGACAAATCGGATTTAATGTCCCCTCATCACAAAATTTAGTTTAATTTAAACAAATTAGCTTGTACACAATGATCTTTAGGAAAGCGAAAGTAGAAAACTGATAAAGTTAGACAATCTGTGAGTGTGAGATGCCATTTGATGAGTTCAGACAGCTTGGCTCTGGTTCAGGTTTTAGCATTGGTACTTTGCTTACATACTGATTTTTTTTCTTTTATTTCTAAGTACTTCTAAGTTCTGTTCGTTAGTTCTGTGCTTTCTTGAATAATAATCTTTCAGACGCAACTGTCGAGCCGTTAAGAAGACAACTGAGGACCAATGAAAATTTAAATATTTTACATGAAGAAGTTTTATTTCATACCTCACATAATTATGAAAATTCACTAACAAAATTGTATTCATATTTTTAAAATATAAACTTGAATAAAAGTACCTTTCTAAAACTAATTTTTCATATATACATTTAGAGGAATGAATGATTTACTATGTCAAAGATTTACATCAAAGGATCCATTAAAACCTTAGATCATCGTTCTTAAAAGTAATTACAAATTATCTTATACACTGTATACAATATAAGTATTATGTACTAAATATGATGGCTTAATTTCAACTGGAATTGAAATATTACAAACAGTAACAACTTCTGCATTATAGTGCACACATAAAGTCTGGATTTTTCTCATAAATTATACAAATAATTCAGATCATTATTGAAACACAGGATAGATTCACAATTAACACAGACATGAAATGATAATAAAATAGATCTCTTTGATTTAGGACCAAATAAAATTGTTGATTTCAATGGAAATTAAACATACATTATGCAAGAGCTAAATCTGTCTATTGTAGATCTTTCTTTGGGCCTGAAATGTTATCTAAATTATTAATTAGACATTAATTAACTTATCCAAACCATGTTCAACTCTCGATGACATCTTATGTGTCAGATTTTAACTGGATTTGAATCTGATTTGCTGCTCAACGCTCATTGATAATTTAATCCAAAAATGGATTATGGAGACTGTTTTTTATCGTACCAACTTTAGTAATGATGATCGAAGTTAGGCCTAAAATTCAATCGCTAATATCTCGGTTCAGAGTGGAGCAATCTAACTGAAATTTTCAGCATATTCCCTTTACATTATCTAGTTTTTAACTTTTATAGTGAGAACTGCCAGCTCGTTATCTAATCCAATGTATCTTCAATATATTCATTTGTTTTGTGGCATGACAATCTGTCTTCTTTATAAATTTTGAGATTTATTCACTTTTGTATTTGACTGTCAACACAGTAAACCTTACATGACATCAGCTAAAATTAGTAAACTAGTCGTCTTCCGCATAATCTTTCATAACAGGACTTAAATAATACGGAGCTTGCTGGATAACTGATCGAAATAGAGAAAGAGAATGGGGTTTAACGACCACTCGACACAAACTAGGTCATTTCAGAACTAACATGTGGTTGAATTTTTATTAATTCGCTTGTGCGGTGAGGTCTTTAGCAGTGGGAGGAAACCGGAGGACCTGGAGAAAACCCACGAGGTTGGACAGGCGACCCAACTCCTTGTCACGTACAACCGTAGAATCGAAATTACACCAGCTGACTCAATAAACAGACCTTACGATACAGTACGTACGCTAACCATTCGGCCATCCAACACCCTCCTGATCGAAAAAACAAATCAGATCAACAGAATTTAATAATTTATAGTTACCTAAATCAAACAGATTTACTTCCTTTAAGATGAGTTTTGAATTTCTTTTAAGCGTTTCTCTTTTTAATTTTTACCTATGATGGGTTTTTTTCCCTTGCGTTTTGGCATGAAAATCTATGAATAATTGCTGCCTACCACAATAAAGACATTCACAAAGTAACAAACTGTTTGCAATATGTATGTATGTCATAAAATATTCAAGCCGTAGTAAGGCCCCCATTTTCGTCAGATTTGCCAGTTTTGATTGATTGGCAATAAAATTAGAAATTTATTTGATTTATACTCAAAAACATTAGATAGTTTAAAGCATTGTTACATAAAAAATAAATAAATTTAAAAAATAAATTTAACGTTTTTGGTATGAAACAACCGGACAGTGTTAATTAAATATTGTTTAGTTTATTTGAACATAATTCCGTACAAATCTGTTAAAAATAAATTAAGGAAAAAGAAGGCCCCAAGAGTACGGGGCTAAATCAACCGGGGCAAAAGTATCTGGGGTGAAAATAAAGCAAAGATTTAAAGATGTATTTTAATCTTTAAAGTCAAATTCCCAGTCATTCGTTCTTAGATGTCATCATGGCATCTTAGTCAAATTTTAATATTTACAATATAATCTGTCGTGTATTATCAACTATGTCAAATGTCTGCATTATTATTATCTTTATTATTGTTCAATTTATATAGCGCTTCATTAGACATGAGTGTTTCTAAACACATTCCCAACAAAACAGTTCAAAAACATTTTTGAAATAAATATGTTTTTAAGTTAGTCTTAAAGCTATGGCTGGAAGAAGACTCTCGAAGAGTTTTTGGAAGATCATTCCACATTTTAGCTTCTCTGACGGAGAAAGCAGAATGTTTATTATATTTAGGAATCCTCAATCAACAATGTAATAATGTCTATATAACCTGTATTTATTTATCCTATGTCAGATATCTCTAGGTCACTAGTATTTAGATATCAAATATGCATAATGATTATTTTAGTGAGGTTCCGCAGGCAGTACGAACTACGAACTATGAAGTGTTTATGTGCTGAGGTCATCACTTCGTGTGATGTCATTGACATAAGCGGCGTTCGGTTTGTCCATTTTCTACAAAGAAATCGGGAAAAGTTTGTGGTTAAAAAACGAAGTCGGCAATTGTTCTGATTTTGGGCAAATTTTCGGGCTGTGAAATTTGTTTTTTTTCTGGACAGTCGGCGATGAGATCGAATCATCTCGAATTTGATGAAAAGTAAAAGAAATTGCGATGAGCTTCTTGAGGACTAAAATTTGATTTGATTTGATACATTTTATTTAACCAAACTAAACGGTGTTATACCTTGTTTCAGGTGAACAACCGTGGAACTAAAGATCGGACTTCGGACTTCGCATTTAGGCGGAAACGGAAATAAACTGCCAAAAACGAAGTACAAAGCCGTATTCGTAGTTCGGACTTCGTACTGGTTTCGGAACCTCTCTATTACTAGAATTTACCCAAAGGACCTAAGGTTACACGAGTAGTAGCCTATTTGTTTACATTGACTAGTATTAGTTTACAATGTCATGTATCTAAATTACTATTAACAGTTTACAATGCCACTTGTCTACACCACTAGTACCAGTTTACAATGTCATATTATCTAAATTACTAGGAAATTACAAACAATATGTTTAATTAACGGTATTTGTCTATCAACAATCTCACATGCATACATTACTAGTATGTCAGATGTCTAAATTTTATCAACAATATCAACTGTTTACATTTCCAGTACGGTAATTGTCTATCAACATTTTTTAATCGATATTTTATTCAGAATGTCTGAATGGGATTGGGGAACAGACTTAGCCTATGTAAAACCCCATGTATACATTACAAGTGGGTTGGATGTGGAAACTACCAGTATTTATCTATCAATAATGTTACATGTATGGATTACTAGTTCTGGTATTTATCAGAATGATACCTTTTCTGTGTTTATCTTATTAACAATGTCAGATGTCTAAAGATGTCTATTATTAGTACATATATTACAAATAGATGTCTACAATTCAAATAGTCTACATGTTGAGGCTAGCATTAAATATCAATGCAGTAAAATCTCACAAATCAATCTAAGAAATGGTATTTATACATTTTATTTACATTTATGGATATACATGTAATTGATTCTGGAGAATATCTCCTACAAAATGATAATGATTTATCGCAAGTGCACCATAATCTTCTGGCTCTTTTTCAGGTTTCTGATAGCTATATGTATATAGTTTTGGGGGGATTATGGGTCCCTTTCTTGAAAGGGCTTCAAATATAGAATATAAGTCAACCAGCTGTATTTTGAAAGTTGGCTTAAAAGTCATTGGCAGCATAGGCGTAGGAATCTGTCTGCCCGAAAAAGTTAGATTGGCAAAGATTCTCTTCTTATTCCTAGGCAAACAATCCCAGCAAGTTTGACAAAAAATATTTCAAACTTCCACCCTTAGAGCATTTACAAGGCTACAGTAAAAAGTCAATGTCTAACTCTGATATTCAGCAGCGTTCCTAAATAAGTCTAGCCAATCAATCTCAGCACATTTCCCAAAAAAAAGATTTAAAAAACTCTGATATGCAGATTGTTCACAGGAAGGATGGACAGGGGTGACAACAATATACTCCTATTTATTTTATTTTTCAGCATGCTTCAGACAGAAGATTATCATAATATCAGCTTCATGCCTGATGTAAATTTCTTCAAAGACTAAAACATCACTTCACTAACAGAACATTCAAATGAGTAGTTTACATTTGTCATCGACTTGACATAGCACACATCTACATCTGTTCAAGACATCTGTTCATCCATTGACACAAACCAGGTCATTGCGGGACTAACATATGGTTCCATTTTATTTCAATAATTCGCCTGCTCGTAGGGGACTTTAGCAGTGGAAGGAAACCTGAGGACCGGCGAAAACCCACGAGGTTGGACAGGCAACCTTACGTCTTGTCACGTACAACCAGGGAATGGAAACCACACCAGTTGACTCAATGACAGACCTTATGATACAGCGCGCACACGCTAATCATTCGGCCATCCAACCCCCCTAATATATCAGGAGTGACTTCCAATATCAATTTAACATTCAAATTTCTGATATAAATTATAATACAGACTGCAAGGACTGTACATCACAACTTTAACGACTAATTGTACAATAATTCTAAAAACCTTGGTATTAATTTATTAAGATCTAATGCATTGATTCAGCAGAATGTGTGTTTAGTATAAATATCTTACTCTTTAAGATTCAGTCAATAATGATAGATGTAGAAAATGAAATGAAATGGGGTTTAACGTCCTACTGTTCTGCTCCTATACTAGGCTAATGAAGACGGGCATACGCCATGCAGTGTGCTATGAGGGAAATTTTGCCCGGGCAGCAACACTATTGCCTACTCTTATATCGAATTCCAACTGCCAAGGGATCTTTTACATGCATTCCAATGTATACATGGGATCTCGGTTCTTCGTATCATCCGAAGGACTAGACAGCTGTTCTGCACCACTAACAAGGGGAAACCACATCGGAAGATCCAGATGAACAATCTCGGCCAATGGATAGATGTAGAAGACATGCTATTATAAGCATGATTTTGTGCCACAGAAGCATAACTTCCCCAGGGCCGTTTTCAGGAATTTGAGCACGTGGGGTGGGGGGTGGAGACAGTGTCCAGTTTGGTATGAGATCTGGGGGGAATTACCCAAGAATTTCATAAAATCTGCTGAGACAATATTTCTACTCATTTATTAGAGCAAATTGGGGCCAAAACGACGACAATGCTTCGCACATTAGTTTGTTCGAGGTGATTTGGAGCTGTGTAGGAGAAAAGGGGGGGGGGCTGGAGACCATCCCTCTGATTGTGACAGATTTCTAGATTTAGAGTTTAGATTTAGATTCTGACATAAAATTGAATTAATCATAAAATAAAGGTCATGGGTGACACGCCATTAGCGGAAACTAGTCAGTTCTGTCTCTTTGTTTTTTCAAATGACTAATTTTTACATGAATTGCTCCTATCTAATGAACTAAACTAGTCCTTAACACACGTAACTTTCTCTTAATATACTTTATAAAATAAAATTTATATCATTTGTAATTCATAATTACACCTGTCACAACATATTTTATCTAAATTAAAAAAACAACAATCAGTCAGACCATGAATTCAGCTTGACAGTATTGTTCTCTACTGTTAAATAAAACAACAACAACCAGTCAGACCATGAATTCAGCTTGACAGTATTGTTCTCTACTGTTAAATATAACAACAACAACCAGTCAGACCATGAATTCAGCTTGACAGTATTGTTTTCTGCTGTTAAATAAAACAACAACCAGTCCAGTCAGACCATGAATTCAGTTTGACAGTATTGTTCTCTACTGTTCAATATAAAATTATCTATGGTTCGTATTAAACTACATAATCTCAAAAACAAGACTAGTCAATCATACAATAATCATAATTCATAATGATAGTACCCATCAACAATACACAGATTCAAGCCTCGTTGATTTCTAACAACTTTCAGATCAAGGTAGATAAAAACAAGATGGAAGACAGGTAAAACATTTCATAAGGGAGTTCACTTCCATTTGTGGAGCGAGAGAGAGAGAGAGATGAGTTTAACGTCACTCGACACAAAGTAGGTTATTTCGGGACTAACATATGATTCAATTTTATTTCAATAACTTGCTTGTGCGTAGGGGTCTTTAGCAATCGGAGGAAACCATAGGATGCAGAGAAAAACCCACGAGGTTGGACAGGTGACCCTACTTCTTGTCACGTATAACAGGGGAATCGAAACCCCGCCAGTTGACTCAATGACAGGCCTAATGATACAGCACGCACATGCTAACCATTTGGCCATCCCACCCCCCTAATATATCAGTGACTTTCAATATCAATGTAACATTCAAATTTCTGATATAAATTATAATTCGGTCACCCAACACCGCTTCCATTTCTAGAGAATTACTGATAGTGTGTCTTAAAATGTATATTTTGCTCTGACTGGAATATTTTATTAAGAATGTCAGAAAGAAACGAATATTAAAGAGATTCCCCGTGATGATTAGGATGAAGAAGACTATCATTATGATTATAAACCACACTCATTCTTAAATACAGTCAACACAAGAATTAATCAACTCAATCAAAACTCATCAACTCACTCATTATAATCAACTTACATAGATGACACGAGTAATTTATATTATAATCAACTTACATAGATGACACGAGTAATTTATATTATAATCAACTTACATAGATGACTCGAGTAATTTATATTATAATTAACTTACATAGATGACTCGAGTAATTTATATTATAATTAACTTACATAGATGACTCGAGTAATTTATACGTAACAATTCAATAGAATTATAAATCTGATAAGTTCAGGGATTTGACCAATCAGATTAAAATACACATCTATATTTCATTTCACTTTTTTTATACTTTCGATGGCCTACACTACATGAAGATCTGACCGGTTGTAGTGGGAGGTCGCGCCAGGAGTCATATGAGCGCCTTTTGACCCTATGACGTCAAGACTTTGATTAACCAATCAGTGTTGATGTTTTTAGTGGTTTACCCACAGTTCTGTGCATCACACACCAAGAAGTCACCGTAACAGACTGTTTCATTGGCTACTTCCTCACATTAACCATAACGCCTGTTATATAACAACTCTTCCAGATCCTAGTGTAGTAAAGACAAGTAAAACGAAACTTGGAACTATAAAAAATAAAACGAAAAAGGATCTGTGTTGTAATCAGATTGTGATTTGATAAACAGTCGATAATTTTGATTGTCAAGAACACCGCCACATTTGATCATATATACAGTAGATACATTTACAAATAAAAACAAATACATTTAACAGATGTGTTGTTTACCCTATCAACACTCTAACTAACTTTCATCTTTACTAGCATCTTTAATTTTATTCTTATCTTTTGATTTTTTACTTTTCCTCGACTTTGAATGCTTGCTCTTGTGTTTCTCCGATTTACCCTCCTTTTTACTCTTTTTGACCTTTTTGTGTTTTTTGGAGATTCTGCTCGAGTCTCGATCCCTCGATGATTTATTTTCCCTCTTGTTGTAGCTGTCATGTTTATCACGTCGATCGTCATGACGATCACTATATCTTCGTTCACGAGTGTCGTGATAGTCTCTATGATCAAAGTTTTCACGGCCTCGTGCTCTGTTGCGAGATTTTGGCGAGTTAATGTTACGAAGGGTACTGACTAACATATTTTTGAGAAAAGTTTTGTTTGTAGATGGCAGAGGGCACTTGGTCCTGAAATGGAGAAAACACATTAGTGTACTTAAATTTTCTGATACAAACATTTGTGAACTAAAACAACAACCGTTAACCAGAGAGAGAGAGAGAAATGGGGTTTAACGCCCACTCGACACAAACTAGGTCATTTCGGGACTGACATGGTTTTAATTTTATTTCAATAATTCGCTTGCCCGTAGGGGTCTTTAGCAGTGGGAGGAAACCGGAGGACCCGGAGAAAACCCACGAGGTTGGACAGGCGACCGCCCCAACCATTAACCAAATTTACTTGTTGATTCAATTGAGTATTATTAATACTAGTCAACAATATTCCTGACATAGAGGGAGAGAAATGAGGTTTAACGTCCACTCGACACAAACTAGGTCATTTCAGGACTAACATATGGTTCAATTTTTATTTCAATAATTTGCATGCGCGTAGGGATCTTTAGCAGTGGGAGGAAACCGGAGGACCCGGAGAAAAAACACAAGTTTGGACAGACAACAATACTCCTTGTCACGTACAACCAGGGAATCGAAACCATGCCAATTGACTCAATTTCAGACCTTATGCTACAACACACACACACACACGCTAACCATTCGGCCAACCCCGCCACCCCCATTCCTGACAAAAAGGTGTGATTTAAACTGTTTTGATTTATCAGACTTTTTGGCCTCTTTCTCATCTTTCTCAATATCGGTTTAATTGAGAAATTGTCAAAATCTATTTCATTTCAGAGTTGTTCCTGGAATCGTACAAAAATCATATTAAACAAACACACACTTAACAAATTAAAGTACCAGAGACGTTGCCAAAAGGATTGGATGCCATTACACTACTATCCTGAGACTATAGAGACAGAGGATCGTTTCCAGCAGACAGTGTCAACTAGAGATCGGACAATGTCTGACACCGTTCGTCGCCGACTACACTCCGTTTTGATTTTGACCACATATGCATACATTTCACTGTAAAGTTGCTATGGCCTACATGTACATGGGTTCTTGTTGATTTTCATGTGTTCGTAAATGTCCAGCCTACAATCGTGCCAAAAATTACATTTCAGCAGCATTATGTCTCACAACCAATCCCATTCAATTCAATGATGCGTTTTCATTACGTCTCGTACATTACATTCTGAATCTCATCAAATTATCAAACAATATTTACCATCCCAAAGCACCCATTTCTTTGGCTCTTTCTGCACTCTTTTTGGTCTCTTTTAATATTTCATCAAGAGCTTGTCTGAAAACATGAGATGTTTATACAATAAATGCATTATTCATAAAAAAGAGAGAGGGAGTAGGTCATTGTTTCAATTTTATTTCAATAATTCGCTTGAGAGAGATATGGGGTTTAACCTCCACTCAACACAAAGTAGGTCATTTCAGGACTAATATATGGTTCAATTATATTTTTGGCTAGTATTCTCATCATTATTAAACGCATTAAAATGGCCTGACGATTGGTTTGATAATGATGAAAGTACTACCCAAAAATTTAATTTTTAGTGTTCTTTCTCTAATATTTGAATTTTACTTATATATGCATGCGCTGTTGACCCTGTATCATGTGACGTCACACATCGACCTAATACATGTGAACTTATAAAGGTCAGTCATTTTACACAGAGTTAAATGAAGACTTATCACTGTGAAACAGATTGTAGGCCTACCGAAAGGCCTATTTGTAAACAGTGTTAATCTCATTTTCCATACCTGTACAAATCCATTCACTTCACATATTTATACCCTTCTAATAATTGCAAACCAGTAACATAAATAGTCTGCCAACATATTTTTAGATATGAGCAAGTTATTGCTGTAAATTTTAGTGAAACAGATTGATAAAAATGATTACCAAAAAACAAATCGTATATTGGTTTCAACTTACTACCGGTAGGCCTATGGCTACATTATCAGTTATTTAATTTTAAATAACGTTCATAATTTGTGAACCAATTATATAATATATGAGTTGGCCTATTCTGGAAATATAAATGGATTTATTATGGGCCATGCATATAAATTCAAAACTCTTAAGATACTCACTGAGCCCATATAGTATGTACACATACAGGCTGATCAAAGTGCTAATTAGGTCAATTCAGGCAATATTTTGCAAATTTTTAAAATCATCTCAGCAGGTATTGCAAAGACTGAAAGAGTGTATCACTCAGAACTTAGAACGTCTTGAACCTGGAGACATTTTTTTGTAGTGTTAGTTGTCATGGTAATTTTTGTTATTCCTTGTGAGATTCCTATATTATTCAGTCAATAAAAATTTGCTATAACGTTGGTGTGAAAGTGGTAGGACACAATTGACAATTGGCTTCTGTACCCGGCGGATACTAAAAAAAAAAGTATCAAAAAGAAGCCATCCAAACTATATTAAAATTGGCATAAACTACTCACTGCTCCAGTGCATCTTCATCCATATTTATTTCTGCAGTATACAAAATGTTATTTCAGCTGTATTTGAATTTTACTGGCATTAAATTAACCCAACTACATTTCATTTCATTTTCAACATTTTGTTTATTTCACGATTTCTATAACAGGAAGCGGAAATCGTCTAACAAAAATAAGATACGTCTGAAATTGGGATGCGCATCCCAGACTGCTCAGTTATGCATTTCTTCTTGTGGAAATGTATCTAGAATATAAAATCTATATTGCAGTCGTTATAGAATAACTATTTTTTTTTACTTTGTACAGCATTTTTTTTTATTCTTATAAGGACAGAGTCACGATAAACAGAGAATTAATTACTAAAATCCAAGTCCATATTTTGCACAAGAACCACAGAATGTCAACATCCACAACTAAAGTATGTCAAGTCAAGTCAAGCTAAGTCAAAGTGAAAGAAAATGGTCATCTGATCACGTATAATTTGGGTTAAGATCGCACTCTTGACCTCTTAAACAAAGATTCGTGAAAGGTATGCACGAGGAAGCTTAGGTAGGCCTATTACAGGTGAATGTATGATGTGGAGGCCTTTTTTTTATGTTGTTTATTAATAATTGTAGGTTATTCAATCAGTCACTCCAGTTTCACTAATGGTTATTCAGTTCAATGGGCTAGATCCAATAAATTATGCATTCAACTTCACCTATGGCAATTTTAAAAAAAGAAATAACAATAGTAAGCTGTTCAGGATGCTATGTTTTTAATTTTATTCATGTTTTTATTCTTGCATTTCATTTAATTAAGCTTCACAACCATTTTGTAATTTTAAAGCTGGAGAATTATTCAGTATAAATTCTACAGTCAACTGCATGAATGAAATATGTATGGTGTTTTGTTTTTTTCAGTGATAGTAAATTGAATTAAATAATAACTTAAAGGTTTTACATTTTTGGTACGGGTACTGGTACAGTACAATATACCGTACAAGGTATGGTATATATATATATATATATAGGCCTATAGACCTAGGCCTAGCCTATTTTTAAATTATAGCTAAATTGATAGTAGAACTTTCAATGAGAAAATAGTTGTAATTAATTTCAGAAAAGTTCATATTCAAAATAAACCTAGGCTCATTATAACGAATTCCAGAACTGTCATATTCAGATCAAAACAATTTTTACTATATATTTAAAAAATATAGCATACTGTATCTTCTGTGGTCATCATTTAGTGATAAAGAATGCATTATTATTTCAAGAGAAATCCTATAGTATTTTATATAGTATTTTATTTTTGCTCAAAATTTAAAAATGAATTGAAGACTAGAACTGCGAAGCAGTAATGACGGGTTTCACCGGTGCCACGTTACCCTTGAACTTATGTCACTTCCGGTACCAATGAAACCGTTAAACAGGTTTCCACATAAGCATTGCACACATGAAATAAAATGGACGCAGAAACAACCAAATCCAGCAATCAATTCATTTGCTACATGTCAGTGATCCTGTCAAAATTACATTACTTCCGGTGATAATGAAAATGTTAAATTGGTTTATGAAATCAGAAATAGCATCATCACATGGTGAAAATTTTATGTAAATCCTATAATAATTGCCACCTTTATAGACCAAAAACCTTGAAAAATGACTTGTAGAAAATCGCCTATTTCTCTGCAACCGTACAAGTTAGAAACCATTTTGAGGTATCTGTATGATCGAATGAGTTCATTCTATTTGTTGATTGGAATCAAATATCATAATTTTAAAAACATTACAAATCTGATTCATTTGAATAAAATATCTGTTTTGAAGGCTAAAAATACAGTTTTTGCCAAAATGACGTTACTTCCGGTGATAATGAAAATCTTAAATTACTTGTATGATATCGTAAATGGCATTATGTATCACACAGTGAAAATTTCATGAAAAGCGAATAATAATTGACACTTTTATTGACAAAAAAACCTTAAAAAGTGACCTGTTGAAAATTGCCTATTTCTCCGCAACTGAACAAGTTAGAAACCATTTTGTGATATCTATATGATCGTAAGGGTTCATTGTATTAGTTGATTTGAATCAAATATCAAAATTTTAAACAAATAACAAATATGACTCATTTGAATAAATTACTGGTTTCGAAGGCTATAAATACAATTTTTGCCCAAATTACGTCATTTCCGGTGATATTGAAAATGTTAAATTGGTTTGACCTAGTTAAAATTGACATTACACATCAAATGGTGTCACTTTTATGAAAATCGAATAATAATTGACTCTTTTACAGGCAAACTAGCGTAAAAAGTGACTCATGCAAAATTGCCCATTTCTCGGCAACTGCGCATATTACAAATTAATTTTCACATACATTCTCTCCGTATAGATTATTGCTACGAGTTTATGAAAATTACGAAGTAATATTTTAAAATATGAAAACGCTGGATGGGTTGTAAATAGCTTAATTTTACACCTTTTTTCACCTTTTAATCGAAATAGCCCGAAAACGGAATCGAAATTAAAAAAAATGGTCCCAACATTTTGTGCGCCTTTAAAGGGCGCACAATTTCAGTTATACCAGATTTGAAAAAAATAATATTTGCTTTCGAAAAATGGTACCTAACTGTCAAAATTGTAGTTTTTTGTCAATTTACGCCACTTCCGGTGCCGACAGATAACACTATTGGTAACAAAAAAAATGACAATTGAGACAACGGGGCATATGAACTTTGTTTTATACAAATCGAACAATAAATAATTAATCTAGGACTGAAAAACTGAATTAGCCAATGGGGGCCAAGGAAAATTACCGAGACAAAAAATTTTCACATTTTTGCCCAAGTCAGAGGACTCGTTATATTTGTGTAAAACACGATTAAAAAATATTCATAAATAAAAAAGTTTTTTGTAAAAATTTAAATTTTCTAAATTTAGCGCCTAATATCTGCGAAGATTTGCCGAAAATCAAAAATCAAAAGTAGCGTAGCTATGTGCCCCGTCTCCGGCTATGCCAAAATGCATCGAAAGTTAAAATCCAATGATTATTGTTAAAATTACTGCAATATTTCTAAAAACGATAGCTTCGGTGATTTCGGACATTTCGCATTGTCGCAGAACGTTCAAAATAGCTTTATCCTCTAAGTCACACCCACTTTTCCGATAAAACCGAAGAAATCGTAACGATCCGACAATCAGTTGCTGAGATCTACTCAAAACAAAAGAAGAATAATAATAATAAGAACTAGAACTGCGAAGCAGTAATGACGGGTTTCACCGGTGCCACGTTACCCTTGAACTTATGTCACTTCCGGTACCAAAATTACATTACTTCCGGTGATAATGAAAATGTTAAATTGGTTTATGAAATCAGAAATAGCATCATCACATGGTGAAAATTTTATGTAAATCCTATAATAGTTGCCACCTTTATAGACCAAAAACCTTGAAAAATGACTTGTAGAAAATCGCCTATTTCTCTGCAACCGTACAAGTTAGAAACCATTTTGAGGTATCTGTATGATCGAATGAGTTCATTCTATTTGTTGATTGGAATCAAATATCATAATTTTAAAAACATTACAAATCTGATTCATTTGAATAAAATATCTGTTTTGAAGGCTAAAAATACAGTTTTTGCCAAAATGACGTTACTTCCGGTGATAATGAAAATCTTAAATTACTTGTATGAAATCGTAAATGGCATTAGGTATCACACAATGAAAATTTCATGAAAATCGAATAATAATTGACACTTTTATTGACAAAAAACCTTAAAAAGTGACCTGTTGAAAATTGCCTATTTCTCCGCAACTGAACAAGTTAGAAACCATTTTGTGATATCTATATGATCGTAAGGGTTCATTGTATTAGTTCATTTGAATCAAATATCAAAATTTTAAACAAATAACAAATATGACTCATTTGAATAAATTACTGGTTTCGAAGGCTATAAATACAATTTTTGCCCAAATTACGTCATTTCCGGTGATATTGAAAATGTTAAATTGGTTTGACCTAGTTAAAATTGACATTACACATCAAATGGTGTCACTTTTATGAAAATCGAATAATAATTGACTCTTTTACAGGCAAACTAGCGTAAAAAGTGACTCATGCAAAATTGCCCATTTCTCGGCAACTGCGCATATTACAAATTAATTTTCACATACATTCTCTCCGTATAGATTATTGCTACGAGTTTATGAAAGTTACGAAGTAATATTTTAAAATATGAAAACGCTGGATGGGTTGTAAATAGCTTAATTTTACACCTTTTTTCACCTTTTAATCGAAATAGCCCGAAAACGGAATCGAAATTAAAAAAACTGGTTCCAACATTTTGTGCGCCTTTAAAGGGCGCACAATTTCAGTTATACCAGATTTGAAAAAAATAATATTTGCTTTCGAAAAATGGTACCTAACTGTCAAAATTGTAGTTTTTTGTCAATTTACGCCACTTCCGGTGCCGACAGATAACACTATTGGTAACAAAAAAAATGACAATTGAGACAACGGAGCATATGAACTTTGTTTTATACAAATCGAACAATAAATAATTAATCTAGGACTGAAAAACTGAATTAGCCAATTGGGGCCAAGGAAAATTACCGAGACAAAAATTTTTCACATTTTTGCCCAAGTCAGAGGACTCGTTATATTTGTGTAAAACACGACTAAAAAATATTCATAAATAAAAAAGTTTTTTGTAAAAATTTAAATTTTCTAAATTTAGCGCCTAATATCTGCGAAGATTTGCCGAAAATCAAAAATCAAAAGTAGCGTAGCTATGTGCCCCGTCTCCGGCTATGCCAAAATGCATCGAAAGTTAAAATCCAATGATTATTGTTAAAATTACTGAAATATTTCTAAAAACGATAGCTTCGGTGATTTCGGACATTTCGCATTGTCGCAGAACGTTCAAAATAGCTTTATCCTCTAAGTCACACCCACTTTTTCAGTAAAACTGAAGAAATCGTAACGATCCGACAATCAGTTGCTGAGATCTACTCAAAACAAAAGAAGAATAATAATAATAATAAGAACTAGAACTGCGAAGCAGTAATGACGGGTTTCACCGGTGCCACGTTACGCTTGAACTTATGTCACTTCCGGTACCAATGAAACCGTTAAACAGGTTTCCACATAAGCATTGCACACATGAAATAAAATGGACGCAAAAACAACCAAATCCAGCAATCAATTCATTTGCTACATGTCAGTGATCCTGTCAAAATTACATTACTTCCGGTGATAATGAAAATGTTAAATTGGTTTATGAAATCAGAAATAGCATCATCACATGTTGAAAATTTTATGTAAATCCTATAATAATTGCCACCTTTATAGACCAAAAACCTTGAAAAATGACTTGTAGAAAATCGCCTATTTCTCTGCAACCGTACAAGTTAGAAACCATTTTGAGGTATCTGTATGATCGAATGAGTTCATTCTATTTGTTGATTGGAATCAAATATCATAATTTTAAAAACATTACAAATCTGATTCATTTGAATAAAATATCTGTTTTGAAGGCTAAAAATACAGTTTTTGCCAAAATGACGTTACTTCCGGTGATAATGAAAATCTTAAATTACTTGTATGATATCGTAAATGGCATTATGTATCACACAGTGAAAATTTCATGAAAATCGAATAATAATTGACACTTTTATTGACAAAAAAACTTTAAAAAGTGACCTGTTGAAAATTGCCTATTTCTCCGCAACTGAACAAGTTAGAAACCATTTTGTGATATCTATATGATCGTAAGGGTTCATTGTATTAGTTGATTTGAATCAAATATCAAAATTTTAAACAAATAACAAATATGACTCATTTGAATAAATTACTGGTTTCGAAGGCTATAAATACAATTTTTGCCCAAATTACGTCATTTCCGGTGATATTGAAAATGTTAAATTGGTTTGACCTAGTTAAAATTGACATTACACATCAAATGGTGTCACTTTTATGAAAATCGAATAATAATTGACTCTTTTACAGGCAAACTAGCGTAAAAAGTGACTCATGCAAAATTGCCCATTTCTCGGCAACTGCGCATATTACAAATTAATTTTCACATACATTCTCTCCGTATAGATTATTGCTACGAGTTTATGAAAGTTACGAAGTAATATTTTAAAATATGAAAACGCTGGATGGTTTGTAAATAGCTTAATTTTACACCTTTTTTCACCTTTTAATCGAAATAGCCCGAAAACGGAATCGAAATTTAAAAAAATGGTCCCAACATTTTGTGCGCCTTTAAAGGGCGCACAATTTCAGTTATACCAGATTTGAAAAAAATAATATTTGCTTTCGAAAAATGGTACCTAACTGTCAAAATTGTAGTTTTTTGTCAATTTACGCCACTTCCGGTGCCGACAGATAACACTATTGGTAACAAAAAAAATGACAATTGAGACAACGGGGCATATGAACTTTGTTTTATACAAATCGAACAATAAATAATTAATCTAGGACTGAAAAACTGAATTAGCCAATGGGGGCCAAGGAAAATTACCGAGACAAAAATTTTTCACATTTTTGCCCAAGTCAGAGGACTCGTTATATTTGTGTAAAACACGATTAAAAAATATTCATAAATAAAAAAGTTTTTTGTAAAAATTTAAATTTTCTAAATTTAGCGCCTAATATCTGCGAAGATTTGCCGAAAATCAAAAATCAAAAGTAGCGTAGCTATGTGCCCCGTCTCCGGCTATGCCAAAATGCATCGAAAGTTAAAATCCAATGATTATTGTTAAAATTACTGCAATATTTCTAAAAACGATAGCTTCGGTGATTTCGGACATTTCGCATTGTCGCAGAACGTTCAAAATAGCTTTATCCTCTAAGTCACACCCACTTTTCCGATAAAACCGAAGAAATCGTAACGATCCGACAATCAGTTGCTGAGATCTACTCAAAACAAAAGAAGAATAATAATAATAAGAATAATAATTTTAACAAAAACAATAGTGTTTCACACAAGCTACGCAGTGTGAAACCCTAAAAAAGGTCTACTGTCAAAATAAGTATTATTCTCTTAGAAGCCCTGTCCAACCTCATGGGTTTTCTCCAGGTCCTCCGGTTTCATCCCTCTGCTAAAGACCCCTACGCGGAAGGAATTATTGAAATAGAATTGAACCATATATGTTAATCCCGAAATGACCTGATTTGTGTCAAGTGGATGTTAAACCCCATTTCTCTTTCTCTCTTTCTTAGAAGGAATTTTCTGCCACTATATGACCATATGTAAATTTTATACTGCTCTGTGTCAATGCATCAATAAATAACAGAAGCCCTACATCGATTTTTGATGGGGATAACGTGGGTAAGACGCTGGCTCGCTAGCCTGGAGGTCAGGTGTTCGATCCCTGCATTGGCCGAGAAAGTTCATTCCGATTTTCCGGCGTGGTTTCCCCCTTGTCAGTGAGGCAGGATGGAGGGCCTGACAAGAACACCTGTCGGATGGGACGAAAAACTGAGGTCCTGTGTACACATTGGCGTGCACGTAAAAGATCCTTGGCTGTTAGAATTCGATATAAGAGTAGGCCGTAGCGCCGCTGCCCGGGCAAAATTTCCCTCATAGCACACTGTATGGCGTATGCCGGTCTTCATTAGCCCAGGTTAGGAGCTGAACAGTAGGACGTTAAACCCCATTTCATTTCATTTCATTTTCGATTTTTAATACATTATTGCAGGGTTGATAGTATCTGGTAAGAAGTGACGAGAGATTTAAAAATGGCCAAGTTTAAATCCCAGATGCTATGGGAGAATATAGAGAAGGGAGATTTATCGGCTGTACATGGTTTATTAGATAGTGGTAATATTAATCTAGAAGAAAGAAATGAGGTTTGTTTTACTAGGCACTTTCTTGTTATTATATTTTTTATTACAGGCAGCTTATATATGGCTCTTGTACGTGTTTGCAACATTTTCCCAGACTAGAAAGAAAATTCACAAGCTAAAAAAAGATTTTCTTGTTGTGAATAGAGAATATGACGTTCATATGATAACAAAATAATTGGGTCTTAAAATTAACACAATGCAGACATGATTTATATACGAAGTAATGAAGAGTCTGATATTCTTTAAAACAAAATGCAAGCATTTACACATGTAAATAAGCAATCAAAAATGTGAGGGGGGTTGGTGGTCGAATGGTTAGCACTTGCGCACTATATCATAAGGTCTGTCTTTGAGTCTACTGGTGTGGTTCCGATTCACCGGTTGTACGTGACAAGGAGTAGGGTCGCCTGTCCAACCTTATGGGTTTTCTCAGGGTCCACTGGTTTCCTCCCACTGCTAAATATCCCTATGCGAAAACAAATTATTGAAATAAATTTTAACCATATGTTAGTCCCAAAATGACCTAGTTTGTGTCAAATGGCTGTTAAACCCATCTCTCTCTCTCTCTCTCTCTCTCTCTCTCTCTCTCTCTCAAATATTTGATGCTTTTTTTTTAGACAGGACAGACATTCTTAATGGTAGCGTGTGATAATGGTGAATTAAATATTGTCAGAGAATTGTTAGAGGCAGGGGTAGACCCTAATGCTGTAGATAATGTAAGTACTTACTGAATAGTTTAAAGATGAATTATGCAAGAACTAAATCTGCCTAATGCAGGTCTTTCATTTGACCTCAAATATTATCTAAATTATTAATTAGACATTAATTAACATGTCAAGCCAATAATCACCTCCATAGACCATCGGATGCTTTTGATTTTCAATGGATTTAAACACGATTGCTGGTTAATAATTTACCGGTAATTGAAAAATGAATAATCTATACTTTTTTATTATTGTAACAATGATTGCAATGACAATCAAGACTACACTGTTCTTCAAACGGCGATAACTCTGCTCAGAATGAAGTAATTTGTTTGAAATATTCTATATATTGCCTATACGTTATCTATGTTTTAAAACTATTATAGCGAGAACTTTCAGCTCTTTATCTAAATCTTACATAAAGCATCTTTAAAGACAGGAATAAAATAAAAAGTCACCTTGAAATTTAGTCTACTAATTGCCTGTCATCAGGGCTCATGCTGTCAGTAGCCAAAGTTGCAATTTGCAATACAAAATATGAAAGTGGCGATTAAGTTTGATTTTGACGATAATTTTGGCGATAAAATTTTGGGATACTAGCGGAAAAAAATATAAACATTTTTTTGTATAAAAATTGTTAACCATCTTGGTGGGGAAAAAATGAGAGCCTGCCTGCCATCCTTTACAAAGATATGCTAGATCAAACTTGATGTTATTGATATAAAAGATAACCTAAAACATGATTTGTTGTTACAATGATATGCTAGATCAAACTTGATGTTATTGATATAAAAGATAACCTAAAACATGATTTGTTGTTACAATGATATGCTAGATCAAACTTGATGTTATTGATATAAAAGATAACCTAAAACATGATTTGTTGTTACAATGATATGCTAGATCAAACTTGATGTTATTAGTATAAAAGATAACCTAAAACATGATTTGTTGTTACAATGATATGCTAGATCAAATTTGATGTTATTGATATAAAAGATAACCTAAAACATGATTTGTTGTTACAATGATATGCTAGATCAAATTTGATGTTATTGATATAAAAGATAACCTAAAACATGATTTGTTGTTACAATGATATGCTAGATCAAACTTGATGTTATTGATATAAAAGATAACCTAAAACATGATTTGTTGTTACGATGATATGCTAGATCAAACTTGATGTTATTGATATAAAAGATAACCTAAAGCATGATTTGTTACAGTAATAAGATTGTAAGATATTTATTAAACATCCATTATGCAATAGTTAAATCTGCCTATTGCAGGTCTTTCTTTATGTTATGTAAACTATTAATTAGACATTAATTAACTTATCCAGGCCTTAATCAACTCTCGATGGCATAAGATTTCTCCGATATTTAAATAGATTAGAATGGTTCAGCGATACTTTGATTTAATCAAATATGGAGGACCGGGACTTAGCTTCGATCAACCAGTACGGTGGTTGAAATTATTGTACACGTCTTGTCAAACCTTAAAAAGCTAATATCTTTGCTTGCAATAGAGTAATTTGAATGAAATTTTCAAATTATTCATTTTACATCATCTACTTTCGAACTATTATAGCAAGAATGGCTAGTTCTTTATCTAAATCTTACATAATGTATCTTTAACAAATATAGATAAAAGGATAATATGCCCTCTATCTGAGACATTTTATATAATTTTATATTTTTTCAGGATAACTGGAGTGCCTTATTATGTGCGGCTAAAGAAGGCCACCTTGAGATAGTTATTGAGTTACTGGAAAGAGATGCAGCCATTGAACACAGAGATATGGTAAGCTTCGTGTCTATTTGTGATTTTTATAACAGTTGGAATTCTACATGTAGGAAAAAGATTTTTGTTATATACATGTCCGAATTACAACATCAATCAGCGGTCCTGTCACACAATTTGCAACGAAATTAACATTGTATAATCGGGCCTTCAATCAGAGGGTGTTAACTGACAAGCAATCAGTTACCAGTGAGTTCGGTATTTCATTTGGGTCTCTCATGTCAAATACAACAACATTATTATAAATTACCGAGATGATCCATATGAATATCATGATATAAGAAAAGGTAAGAAACGATTTTACTCAAAATCTAAATTGAAAGCCATCAACAGAATGACGCACAATTGGTTTGTACGCGCCCGAAGTAAAAACGTAAAAACTTTATGTAATAAAATTTTGAATACAGAAAGGTTTATCAATATCAAATTTTAAGTTCTGGGTATTCGAAGGTGTATTGAAATAATACTTCCAGTATTGAGTATTCCGCCATGCTGTATAATCCGGCGTATTGTATCAATCGCGTACGATGTCAGAAGTGGCTTTATTCAATATCCGCTTCCACCGAAATGAATTGGGTGACATTTAAAGTAGATGTATATTGTCACAGCGGAGATTTGTCGCTGAGTAACACAGAGTAAGAATATAGTTCCAATCTTTTGGCGCGTTTCTGACCACGTGACTTACCGTTAAGCGCCCCGTGGAGTGATTTACGGCACTGTGCTCTATGAATGATTGATTGAGAATAACTGAAGCTGCAATTAATGTGTAAAAGCTCATCGTATGACGTATATAATTTAAAGTTTGGATTTGATAGCAGCCAATAATTGATGGATTACATCTAAGTTATAGACGAAGATGTAATGATACGTTTTAAAAAATTGTAAGTTGTTCATTGTTGCATACATTTTGGCCGACGTTATACGAATGTACAGTGCGTAAGAAAAAAATCCTTACCGATACAGAATGCTGGTAAATGTTTTCCCGAGATTACCTAACTCATTTTGTTGTTATTCAAACCGGCCTGTACATTATACATGTACACGTTTTCGCGGCAGCATTACTGTATTACAACTCCTTCAATTAATTATAGACAATATTATTTCGACCCTAGCTTCTCGCGAATTCCTTGCGGGAAGCATGGCAAAACACGATGTAACGTATCTGGGGAAATTCAACGGCTCGTCCAATAAATGAACGACATAGATAAGTGCACAGGTAGTCCATTTGTAAACGCATCTCTTAGAAACTAAAGCCATTGACATTAATCTAAACCATAGTACTAATTAAACCATTTTTGTTATTCTTCAACGATTTTTATCAATTATCGAACAGGGTTTTGAAATTAAACGGTATGAATAGTAACCAACACTAAAAAACCCATATTAAACGATACCATATTTGTAGTGGCACTATATATATATATATATATATATATATATATATATATATATATATATATATATATATATATATATATATATATATATATATGGAACTGAATGAATTGTAAATATAGCCTTAAATATTCAGGCGTTAATTTTAAACTTGACTTGTGGCGTTAATGTAAAGTTTCAATCGCTAAATCTATTTGTTAAGGCCAGCTCAATTTTTGTCAAGGTCGTTAAGATGTAAATAAGGTTAAGGCATGCGATTGTTCACGAGATTGTAGGTTAGGGTTAGGGTAAGCATTGGGGCTAGGTCCAGGGTTAGGATTGGGATTAGCGCTAGCCCTGTTTACATCTCGTGAGCTATGACGAAAAATTGAGCTGGGGTAAGCATTGGGGCTAGGTCCAGGGTTAGCGTTCCCCATGTTTAAATCGTGACCTATGACGAAAAATTGAGCAGGCCTTATCATTTAGCACTAACCAGTTTCAATTAACTAATTGAATTAATGTAAAGTTATTTTTGTGTTATAGTGTGGTTGGACACCATTAATGTGGGCGAGTTATAAAGGAAGAGTTATAGTTGTACAAGAATTATTAGAAAAGGGAGCTAACCCTAATGCTGAAGCTGAGGTTAGTATATAATCCAGTATATTTTACATCTGAACTACCGTTTGTTTTTACTGTGTTAAGTTGACTCTAGTCTAAAAATTTCCAAATTAAATCAATCTAATTAAAACACAGATCTTATTTCATATTGTTTTTTTATAGTTCACAATTTCGTTTTACTTGTCTTTACTTAACTAGGATCTGTAAGAGTTGTTATATAACCCTTGTTCTAGTTAATGTGAGGGATTAGCCAATGAAATGGTCTGTTGCAGTGAATACTTGGTGTGCGATGCACGGAACTGTGGGTATCTTACTTTAACATCAACACTGATCGGTTAATCAAATGTCTGAAGTCATAGGGTCAAAAGCTGCTCGTACGACCGCTGACGTCACCTTCAGTAAAATTGGTCAGATCTTCATATAGTAGATGCCATCGAAAATATATATAAGATCGAAACGAAATATATTTTAATCAGATTGGGTGTTGTTTTAACAACACTGGTGTTATATCCAATACGAGAGGTTATATAGATTTATTTTAATAACTAGTAAATTATTAAATTACAGCACAATATGACAAGTTTAGCTTGGGCAAGTGGTCGAGGTCATATAGATATAGTAATAATGTTGTTAGAAAAAGGTGCAAAAGCCAATGCTGCTGACAAGGTGAGTATTACAAAATAAATAAAATACTGTTTAACGTCCTACTGTTCAGCTCTGACTGGGCTATTGAAGATGAGCATATGCCATACAGTGTGCTATGAGGACATTTTGCCTGAGCAGCGGCACTACGGCCTGCTCTTGTTTCCAATTCCAACTGTACACTAATACAGGATCATGGTTTTTCAGGTGTAGGGTCGCCTACCCAACCTCGTGGGTTTTCTCCAGGTCATCCACTGCACAAAACCCCTATGCGCAAGCTAATTATTGAAGTAAATTTGAACTATATGTTAGTCCCGAAATGACCTGGTTTGTGTCGAGTGGAGGTTAAACCTCATCTCTCTCTCTTTCTCTGTCTATAATTGAACTGATTGACTTTCAGTATGGAACTACACCATTGATATGGGCAGCTAGAAAAGGGATAGTGGAGATAGTAGAAGCGCTGTTAGCAGAAGGTGCAAATGCTGATTCATCAGGAATGGTATGATATATTATTTGGTTGATTATTAATATATAAACTACATTTATTAACAAAACAAGACCATAATCAATCGGATACCGGAGATTTTAACTAAATTAGAACGGTTTGCTATTTAAAAATTTAATTTAAAAATGGGAAAGCGAGGGGTCCTCTGGTTTCCTCCCACTGCTAAAGACCCCCTATGCGCAAGCAAACTATTGATATAAAATTGAACCATGTGTTAGTCCTGAAATGACCTAGTTTGTGTCAGGTGGATGTTAAATCCTATTTCTCTCTCTCTGTGCAACTTTTGATTAATAAATAGAATTGACCAATAACTGTGATAACTTTTTTACCAGATTTTCCAATTTAATCAGGAATGATAAAATGTTGGCAAGTTACAGTCATAAAAAAAGGCCACCACAGACAAATCATTATGAGCCATTCTTGTCCTCTGAATACTTAAATAGGCAGATATTCAGAAAGTTGGATGATTTTGTAGTTGTACCATTCAGAAGTCAATTGTAGATGGGCTGACACTATATTCCCAACTCAGATTATAATTGTTTGTGTATGTATACAAGAGTAGCTATTGATTTCTAGCTTTCTTGTATACATACATGTGTTGACTGTTGTTAGAATTTTTTATGTTTGCTCCTAGACAATAAGTTAATTGTTGATTACTCTATTAATAAGAATGATTTTTTTTTTTTGGACAGAATTCATGGACACCATTACTAGTGGCAACTAAAGGTGGTTATACAGAAGTTGTACAAGCTCTACTTAAATATGATCCTAATGTTAATGCTGTTGATACGGTAAATATTATATGTAATTTTAACAATGATGATAACGTAAATATATTAATACTGTTGATCAGGTAAATATGATGTTAATACTGTACATCAGGTAAATATGATATTGATGTTAAAACATAAGATAAAGTTAATAATAAGATAATTTGTCATCAACTTGGGTCCTGATCAAGTCATGATTATTAGATTGCTTGAAGGAATTTTAGCAGAAAGACGGTATACCTGTTTTTTGCAACAGTGTTATTTGTTTACCATTGTTTAACAAGATGTATTTCTTTACAATTAATTTCAGTATTGTAAAGGAATAAGAAAGGATTCTTAGTGATATCCTTTCAGCCTTTTTGATGTAAAATTGTGAGGATTCAGAATTATATTTACCGAAAAATTTAGGATATTGTAGAAAAAAAAGAGAGAAACAACTTTACATGATTATTTAAAGATATTTATATAATGAACAGGTTGATTTGTTTTATTATAGGATATGTTGCTATAGTGATCAGGTTGTTTTGTTTTTATTTACAGGATGGTTTGACAGCTCTAGCTATAGCCGCTAAAGAAGGATATGTTGCTATAGTGGGAGATCTTATTGCTCAAGGTGCATATGTTAATATGGCTGACAGGGTATGTCAAATTCACTAATCCACAAATTTAAAAAGAAAATAAGAAAAGTAATGTAATTTTAAATCTAGCTGTCAGAATCAATCTATTAGATACATTTACTTACACTGTAATCAGGGTATCATTTAATCTTGTATATTTAGCATTAATTTCTTTCACATTCAAAATCAAATCTTTATTTAAAAGTTTGTAAAAATCGTTTAAAATCACCAAAAATCATCTAATTTGTACTTGTGTCCAAGTTAAAGTTGACCATTCTATTTTAATAATGGGTGTCAAATTTACCAGTGTTTAATTTCTCGATCACTGTTAAAAAATAAACAACCCAATTGATTATTGATTTATAATGATTAATTTTTGAACTGTGGTCTGGAAATTAAATACTTGTAAATTAAACACTCATTATTAAAATTAAACTAGACACAAGTAGAAATTAGATGATTTTGAGTGATTTTAAATAATTTTTGCCAATTTTTAACAAAGATTTGATATTAAAGGAATGTGAAAAAAATAAATGCTAGGTACACAAGATTAAATGATACCCATGTTACAGTGATACATGACCTGCATGTAATTGTGTTCAGTTGAAGTTTTAAAAATATTTCTATCTCTCTTATCTTCAGGCAGGAGACACAATATTAATACATGCTGTAAAAGGAGGCCATATTGAAGTTGTTAGTGCATTATTAAGTCGACATGTTGATATAGATGTACAAGGATCTGTAAGTATTCATTATTAAAGACAGCTATGTTTTTTATTTTCTAGGTCTTCCCGGCCAAATTTGTCACTTATCATTTTACTACATACCGGTAATTACGGAGTTGTTATATAACCCGTGTTCTGATTGATGTGAGGGATTAGCCAATGAAACGGTCTGATATGGCGAGTTCTTGGCATGTGGTGCACGGAACTGTGCATATCCCACTACAAACATCAACGCAGATTGGTTAATAAAATGTCTGATGTCATAGGGTCAAAAGCCGCTCATAGGACCTCTGACGCGACCTTCCACTACATCTGGTCAGATTTTCATGGTGTAGGCTATCGAAAGTATAAAAAAACTAAATGAAATATAGATCTGTATTTTAATCAGATTAAGATTCAAGTCACAAACAAAGAGTTTTATAAATCGGGATTTGATTAAACATCGTTGACTTAATGAAGGATTGTGAAATTCTTGTATCTGGGTTGGGATTCTATTGCAAACCAAAGGAATTGATTCTGAATATAGAATGAGATTGACAGCCATCAGATACTCCGTAAGTATACAGTCAAGTGAAGTTTGGTTAGACCATGAATCGTTTTTGTTCGGGGGGATAGTATGAAAGTAAAGTGTTGATTTTGACATGTTCGACAGTCTTACATTATGACATTTATATTTACAGGAAGGTAAAACAGCGTTATATTGGGCTGTAGAAAAAGATCATACACAAATTGTTAAGAAAATATTAGATCAAGATCCAGATTTAGAAGTTTGTACTAAGGTCAGTTATAAAAATTGTTGAAAGGGACGATAAACTAATCAGGCTCAGACTTAAGGTAGAGGGGGGGGGGGGCGATGGTTGACCCACCATGAGACAAAGTAAGTGCCCCTGAGACCAAGTAAGTGCCCCTAAGGTTCACAATTCAGTAACAATCATAATATGGCATGAACTTTATGTCAGCTTGAATAAAACTTCTTTCCGGCGAGATAACGATCGGCGAACATATTTTGTTGACATTCATTGTTGGGTGGGATTGTTGATGGCGTCCTTAATTTGGAACCGCTCCCCCTCCCTCCCCCATTCTAGATCTGCTACTGAAGCAAATGATCTATGAATAGATATTAAAATATGTACTGTTTTATGTATAATAATATTTATAGTCTAAAGGGAAACTATGTCAAAACTCAGTTGTCATTGTATTTCTGGTAATTGATACCATTACAAATGTCAGCATAGTTCCCTGACTAATCTGACTAATCAATATCAAGGGAGAAATGAACAAGAGAATATTTACTAATAATTTATCTCTAATATAACACAAGATATATTAAAGAAACGTTATGTAAGATTTAGATAAAGACCTGGCTATTCTTGCTATAATAGTTCAAAAATAGATAATGTAAAATGAATTTATTAAAAATTTCATTCAAGTTGCTCCATTGCAAATGAAGATATTAGCTTTTAAAGGTTTGACAACATGTGTGCATTAATTGCAACCACCGCACTGGTTGTTCGAAGCTTAGCCTCCCTTCACTATTTTAGATTAAATCATAATATGGCTGAACCATTCTAATGTACTTAATATCAGAGATATCCAATAGCATCGAGAGTTGATTATGATCTTGTAATGTTAATAAAAGTCTAATTAATAGTTTATATAACAATAATAACATTATAGGCCTATAAAAAGACCTGCAATAGGCAGATTTAGCTCTTGTATAATGTATTTTTAAAAAGGAGATATTGATTCACACATTTAATTTAAGAAGTTTTGTTGATGATTTTATTGTTATAGGATAATGATACAGCTTTATTACGAGCTGTTAGAAGTAGAAATGAAGAATCTGTTAAACTGTTGATGGAGAAAGGAGCTAAAGTATCCGCTGCAGATAAGGTAAATATTGGTGGAATACATTGTCTGAATGTCATGCTGGGGATGCTTATTGACAAGATTGCAAGAAAGTGACAGGGTATAAGGTCCGTCAGTTCCAATAACTGAAATGGTGTGAATAGAATTGAGCTTCAGCTGAGATATTTTTTTACTCAATCGGTGCATTCATTGTGGCCGAAAATCTTCTTGTTCAATCACTTATCACTATTGGTTTGATTGCGAATGTTGAAATGCTGAATCAAGTGTCCACGGAGTGAGAATATATTCCACAGCTGAAAGATTCTCACCATGGTTGATTATGTCATGATTATGTCATGCGCTATGAGCACGATTTGTGGATTTGGTGCTATATAAATGGACATATTATTATTATTATTATTATGATTATTTTGATTCGCACATTTCAAACTGTACACAGAAAGATATTTCTCTTTAATATTTGTCTTGCTGGCAGTTACGCTCAGATATGTCACCCTTGCTATCATTTCTTTTTTGTTGTCATCATCATCATCATCATCAAGTTTTGACAGCATCATTAGTGTTTGTTCATTATCATTGGTGTGTTTTGTCATTATCATTGATGTTTTGTCATTATCATTGGTGTTTTGGTGTTTTGTCATTATCATTGGTGTTTTGTCATTACCATCAAGTTTTGAAATCATTGTCAGCTTTAGACAACCACAAATGTTAATTTTCCAAGAGTTTCAAGTAGTAATCTTGTTTTTCCAGGATTTTTCAGTACTGGAAATCACTTTTTCATTTTTCCAGGATTTGTCTATTTGAAATAATCATGATGCATTGACTATGTGGTGCATGTTTCATATACATCATTTCACTTGTATAATAATCAGATATTTACTTTTATTTTATTTCTAGAGGGGTGATACCCCACTTCATATTGCTATTAGAGCCAGAAGTAAAAGAATAACAGAATTATTACTTAGAAATCCTAGAAATAGTCGACTGTTGTATCGACCAAATAAATCTGAAGAAACTCCGTACAAGATGGATTCCTGTTATCAACGAAGTATACTAACACAGATCTTTGGTCATCGTAAGTACCGGTAGAATGTGACTTGAACTTCCAGAAATATAATCTGTCGTACTGTTTAAGTTGTATCCCTTACTTATTTCACACGACACATCTACTCTTGAAATTTAATATGCAAAATTCATACTCCAAAAATGAAACAAAAAATGAAGCAACAGGATTAATAAAATCTTTTGGCGAATAGGTACCATCATGTTCCTGAAGCAACAACTGCGAGTTTTACAAGATCTAGACATTGCTAGATTACTTTGCAATTCTCCAACTTATAGCTACGTTATCTGCAGACACATGAAGAATAGCGTCCATTCAGAGGTTGTGACATAGCTAAATACATCACTAATAAAGACATTTTCATTATAGCTCTTCAACACAAGATGCTAAAGAATTGCAATTCTTTATTTTGACTAAAGGCTTTTAGCTATTTAGAATCCTAATTCACCCTCTCGCACACAAAACAAGTGAAATGAAATGAAATGGGGTTTAACCTCCTACTGTTCTGCTCCTATACTGCGCTAATGAAGACGGGCATATGCCATACAGTGTACTATGGGGGAAATTTTGCCCTCCGTCCTGCACCATTAACAACGGGAAACCACGTCGAAAAATCCTGATGAACTTTCAGGGATCGAACACTCGACCTCCAGGCCAATTTCTTACCCACCTAGCCACCGTGACTCCTGACACACGAAAGAATTAATATAGCAAACATGTAAACATAAATATTATTGTGAGTTGTTGTGAATCTTTTGTTTTAGGAGAATAGATGCAATACGGTAATTGATTTCCCTATCATATGGAATCAAAGTTTATTAATGACATAAATTTGAATAACATATAGGAATTAAATACGAAAAATAACGAGTTCCACCTATTTTTTTATTACGTACAAATTTGAATATTTTGTTGACGCATGTTTTTAAATTGTGGTCAGACACTGCTGGCTTAAATAATGATAAGAGTTATGCCCCTTTATTTTCGGTTAAAATGTCTGACAAGAAGAATTTTGAAATCCCAACACTGAATGAAACTATTAATAATTTGTAATATTTATGTGTTGTAGGTAATTTGAATGCTACCGATGCCGAGAATCTGCTAGGTTATGAGATATATAGCAGTGCTTTAGCTGATATACTCAGTGAACCAGCCCTTATCACACCCATATCTGTAGGACTATATGCTAAATGGGGCAGTGGAAAATCATTCCTATTGGGAAAACTCAAAAGTAAGATAATTTAATTTTTATGGTTTTAAAAGGAAATGATGACACAAGAAGATCATTTTATCATGATTATTTCCTCAATTCAAGACTTGTCAATGCCAAAAATTGTTGTCAATAATCAAAATGCAGTGTAAAACACATACTTGTGAAAATATTCTGAAGAAAGAAGTAGAGAGAGAGAGAGAGTGGGTGAGAGAGAGAGAGAGAGAGAGTGAGAGAGAGAGAGAGTGAGTGAGTGTGTGTGTGTGTGTGTGTGTGTGTGTGAGAGAGAGAGAGAGAGAGAGAGAGAGAGAGAGTGAGTGAGTGAGTGAGTGAGTGAGTGAGTGAGAGAGAGAGAGAGAGAGAGAGTGAGTGAGTGAGTGAGTGAGTGAGTGAGTGAGTGAGTGTGTGTGAGAGAGAGAGAGTGTGTGTGTGAGAGAGAGAGTGTGTGTGTGAGAGAGAGTGTGTGTGTGAGAGAGTGTGTGTGTGTGTGAGAGAGAGTGTGTGTGTGAGAGAGAGTGTGTGTGTGAGAGGGAGTGTGTGTGTGAGAGAGAGAGAGAGTGTGTGTGTGAGAGAGAGTGTGTGTGTGAGAGAGAGTGTATGTGTGAGAGAGAGTGTGTGTGTGAGAGAGAGTGTGTGTGTGAGAGAGTGGTTGGTTGGTTGGTTGGTGGGTGGGTTGGTTGGTTGGTTGTAGAAATACTATTTGTGTTTTTTTGTTTACAGGTGAAATGAAAGTATTTACACATCAGAATATTATTGTAGATGATGATATAAAGTTTGGTTGGGTTTTATTTCTGTTATTATTGTTCATCAACTTGGTTATAGGAGAAACTTTAGCTCTAATAGTCCGATTTGAAGTAGGACTATCTGCTGGGTTTGGATTGTTTGTTATAGAATATGCATTTCTAGGTAAGATTAGATTATATTTTATGTTTAAGTCATTTAGATATTAAATGTATATCAGGAATTTTGAACATATAGTTATACATGTAAATATAGCTATACATCAAGGCACAATAAAAACAAGGTTGAGACTGTATTAGCTCTGTCAGTATATACAGTTTGTCTCAAATTGTTTGAATCAAATTTGCGCCAACACTGCAAACTCAAAACTTTGCACATACAAGTAGTTTCTTATTGATGTATTTGATACATTCAAACAAAGAGCTTTATAAAGAGCTATATTTTAATTAAAATAAGGTGAACAATTTGGAGTAAATTCTAAACTTAAGTCTGAGAATGCTTTGTGAACTCTTGAGGCAGGTGAAATAGATTACTTGAACCTTGGTTCAGGTCAAATAGATTACTTGAACCTTGGTTCAGGTCAAATAGATTACTTGAACCTTGGTTCAGGTAAAGTAGATTACTTGAACCTTGGTTCAGGTCAATGTTTGTGTTCACTAAGCAGAAGAATTGGATTGATTCATTCTGTCACATGAAGTCACATTGTATTTTGCCATCATTCTTTTAAAGTCATCCATAATTTCACTTTTGTTTCGTGTGCATCTACAAGTTTATTAGAGCAGTTGTGGACTAAGTAACTAGATACTATAAAACCAACACTGCTTAAATAGTTTATTGAAATATTTCAAGTGGTATGTCAAAAGTGTCTAAATTTGCTCTTACTCGAGCAGGGACAAAAATTCTGTTTCATAATATTTAATAGTTTTACTTGTTCTATTTTTAGGAGTTATTCATATCTGTAAAAAACGTCACAATTCTTCGTTTGCTATACGTATTGGTGTGATGTTTAATAGAAAGCTCCATCTTATTACACTCTTTCTACGAATGTTATTTTGTATACCAAAAAGAATCAGTTCACAGGATAAACTTAATTACGCAAACGGATCGGCATATTCTGTTAGGTAAGATTACAGCATATTCTGTTAGGTGAGACTACAACATATTTAAACTAAATCACTGCAGATGACCATCAATCTGCTCAGTTTGTTTTTACTGTTTAGACAGAGAGAGAGATAAATGATGTTTAATCAACAGACTTTAGTAATGATGATCGAGGCTAGGCCTAAAACTTAAAAGCTAATATCTCGGTTCAGAGTGGATCAATTTGAATGAAATTTTCAGCAAATTCCCTTTACATGATCTAGTTTTTATACGCCCACATTTTCATGTGGCCCCTGATTCAACAAAAATTCACGTTTTAGGTTTGTGGACCCTATAGAGGTCACGTTTTTTATCTGATTTTTTTGAAACTTGAAATGTAAGTTTATAACCCAAAGATCTCGGTTCCTTTCGATATTCGCGCATATCGGACCGTAACTTCCTGAATTATGGCCCCTGATTGTACGAAAAATCGCGTTTTTAGCTTGTGGACCCTATAGAGGTCGTAATTTTTATCCGATTTAAAAAAACGTATTATTATATCACAGTTACACCCTAAGGATGAATGAGTTCGAATTCCATGAAAATCGGCCAAAAATTGACAGAAAAAATGGCCGCCGTTCGTTCTCAAATAGCGTAAAAATATGGTATATCAAGGTTGTGGACCCTATAGAGGTCACAATTTTTATCCGATTTTGTTGAAACTTGAAATGTAAGTTTATAACCCAAAGATCTCGGTTCCCTTCGATATTTGCGCATATCAGACCGTAACTTCCTGAATTATGGCCCCTGATTGTACGAAAAATCACGTTTTTAGCTTGTGGACCCTATAGAGGTCATAATTTTTATCCGATTTAAAAAAACGTATTATTATATCACCATTACACCCTAAGGACGGCTGATTTTGAATTTCGTGATGTCGGCCCAAAATTGACAGACAAAATGGCCGCCGTTCGTTCTCAAATAGCGTAAAAATATGGTATATCAAGGTTGTGGACCCTAGAGAGGTCACAATTTTTATCCGATTTTGTTGAAACTTGAAATGTAAGTTTATAACCCAAAGATCTCGGTTCCTTTTGATATTTCCGCATATCGAACCGTAACTTCCTGCATTATGGCCCCTGATTGTACGAAAATACGCGTTTTTAGCTTGTCGACCCTATAGAGGTCAAAATTTTTATCCGATTTAAAAAAACGTATTATTATATCCCCGTTACACCCTAAGGATGGCTGAGTTCGAATTTCGTGAAAATCGGCCCAAAACTGACAGACAAAATGGTTGCCGTTCGTTCTCAAATAGCGTAAAAATATGGTATATCAAGGTTGTGGACCCTATGGAGGTCATAATTTTAATCCGATTTTGTTGAAACTTGAAATGTAAGTTTATAACCTAAAGATCTTGGTTCCTTTCGATATTCGCGCATATCGGACCGTAACTTTCTGAACTATGGCCCCTAATTGTATGAAAAATCGCGTTTTTAGCTTGTGGACCCTATAGAGGTCATAATTTTTATCCGATTTAAAAAAACGTATTATTATATCACCGTTACACCCTAAGCACGACTGAGTTCGAAGTTCGTGAAAATCGGACCAAAACTGACAGATAAAATGGCCGCCCTTCGTTCTCAAATAGCGTAAAAATATGGTATATCAAAGTTGTGGACCCTATAGAAGTCACAATTTTTATCCGATTTTGTTGAAACTTGAAATGTAAGTTTATAACACAAAGATCTCGGTTCCTTTCGATATTTGCGCATATCGAATAGTAATTTCTTGAATTATGGCCCTTGATTGTAGGAAAAATCTCTTTCTTATTAGCTTGTTCTTTATCCATCTCTCGAAAATGTGGGCGTATCCTGTCTGGCAGCCACTGGTTAACTATTACAGCGAGAACTGCCATCTCTTTATCTAATCTCCCATAATGCTCCTTTAATCAACTGTAATGCAGGTGAACATTTCTGCCAATCTGTAGGGGTGAAGGATGGCCAAATGGTTAGCGTGTGCGCGCTGTATCATAAGGTCCTGTCATTCACCCAACTGGCGTGGTTTCGAATCCCCGGTTGTACCTGACAAGGATTAGGGTTGCCTGTCCAACCTCATGGGTTTTCTCCGGGTCCTCTGGTTTTCTCCTACTGCTAAAGAACCCTACATGCAAGCGAATTATGGAAATAAAATTGAACCATATCTTAATCCCGAATTGACCTAGTTTGTGTCGTGGATGTTAAACACACCCCTCTCTCTCTCTCTCTCTCTCTCTCCTCTCTCTCTCTCTCTCTCTCTCTCGCTCATCTCTCACTCTGTCTCTGTCTGTCTGTCTCTCTCTTCTCTCTCTCTCTCTCTCTCTCTCTCTATCTCTCACTCTGTCAATCTGTAAGTGAAAGTAATTATAATATTAAGATGATGTATTTTGTTTATATCAGGTTTTTGTTTTCTGATTGTACACGTTTAACTAGTGTTGGTGGTGAGAAATCGCTGGCAGCCATGATAGCTACACTATGTGTTGCTGTTGAACAAGAATATGGATTCTTGGTAGCACGACTGTTCAGAGTTTTTGAACCTCAGTTTGGAAGTAAGTATAAATTCACAGATTTAAAAACACATGTGATGTTAGATGTTTTGGTAAAGTGACTTCGCTTATAAAATAAACCCCTAATTAAACTTACACATGGCAGCTTCAAAAATTAGAGCCATGTTTATCATCAAGTCTGCAGTGGAGGACATGTTTATCATCTAGTCTGTAGTGGATGTCATGTTTATCATCAAGTCAGCAGTGGATGACATGTTTATCATCAAGTCTGCAGTGGATGTCATGTTTATCATCTAGTCTGTAGTGGATGTCATGTTTATCATTAAGTCTGCAGTGGATGTCATGTTTATCATCTAGTCTGTAGTGGATGTCATGTTTATCATCTAGTCTGCAGTGGATGTCATGTTTATCATCTAGTCTGTAGTGGATGACATGTTTATCATCTAGTCTGCAGTGGATGTCCTGTTTATCACATAGTCTGCAGTGAATGTCATGTTTATCATCTAGTCTGCAGTGGATGACATGTTTATCATGTAGTCTGTGGTGGATGTCATGTCATGTTTATCATCTAGTCTGCAGTGGATGTCATGTTTATCACATAGTCTGTAGTGGATGACATGTTTATCATCTGATGTATTTTGATGACAGTGGTTGCCTGGGTGAATAATTTAACGGGTGTTCTTTAGATCATATAATCTGTCATTTAGTCGGCATGGTTTCGATCCCAAGTGACAAGGAGTAGAGTTTCCTACTACTACCAAACACCCCCTACAAGCATTCAAATTATTTAAATAAAATTGTACCATATGTCAGTCCTAAAATGACCTAGTTTGTGTCAAGTAGACATTCAAATCTCTGACTCTCTCTCTCTCTCTCTCTTTTTTTCCGCGTGATTTCCCCACTGTCTAGTCGTTCAGATGGGACGAAAAACCGAGGTCGTGTGTACACATTGGCATGCACGTAAAAGATCCCTTGACAGTTAGAATTCGATATAAGAGTAGGCCATAGTGCCACTGCCCAGGCAAAATTTCCCTCATAGCACACTGTATGGCATATATCCGTCTTCATTAGCCCAGTATAGTAGCAGAATAGTAGGACGTTAAACCCCATTTCATTTCATTTCTCTGTATGTATTTTGATATTTGGGGCTATCTGGAGTTTTACTATCATTTTATTTTTCAGGTTCGAAGAAAGCCTCCTTTAAATGTATATGTTGTATACCATACTTTATATTAGTACTGCTTATCATATTACTGATAGCAGCTAGTATCGCCTTGGTAACCGTATTCAAAATATCAAGCGTCCCTGTCAACGCCATTTTAATTTCATTTATTTGTGTGATTGGCTTATCTTTTATAACAAATCTTTATACGTGGGCACAAGCAGGCATGGCCTTGCTTAACTCCCAGAAAAGACGAGTTCTATCTGCTGCCGACCGAGTGGATGTTCTAAAAATAGATGGTTTTATGCAGCAGTTGAAAACGGAAGTAGATATGATGGGGACTTTGGTGAACTGTATGGATGCGTTTACAGATAGGCAGACACGATTAGTTGTAGTCGTTGATGGATTGGACAGTTGTGAACAAGATAAAGTCTTACAAGTTTTAGATACGGTTAATTCCCTTTTCTCCGACGATCACTCACCATTTATAGTCATCCTTGCCGTCGATCCACATATCATAATTAAAGGCATCGAACAGAATTTACAGACACGATTTGATTCCAATGTCAATGGCTACGATTATCTCAGAAATGTGGTTCATCTGCCATTTTATTTACAAAGTCAGGGCGTACGAATACCTAAACAGAATTTGACCGTGGCCTTCTCATCAGAAACATCGGTACATCATTCTGAATCACCAGGAAAACCATACGCGGTAAATATTGCAGTATATTATTTTCTTTTGATCATTAACCTCCTGAAAAACAAGAAATTTATATATTATGACGTTAAACTCATTTAAAGGAGTTTGAAATATATATCGAAATTATTGCAATCTACTGTGCGGGTCTCGACGACCAATGTTTTTATGACAGTAACTGGGATCATTAAATTCCTGAAAAACAATAAATTTATGTATTATGACGTTTTAAAAACTCACCTGGTTGAAATATATATTGAAATTGATGCAATCTACTGTTATTGCTGGTCTCGACGACCAATGTTTGAATGACAGTAACTGGGATATTGCAAAAAGTATGTAAAAGCTTAAACTGCCTATTGCAGTTCGTTTTTCTAGTGTCAAATCTTATATGAATTGCATACTGTCATCGCCCGCATCTGTCCATCCGTCCGTCGTCCGCAATTTCTTTGTGAACACTCTACAGACTACATTTATCATCTGATTGTTTTGAAATTGATATTTGTAGTTTACATTAGTGAGATGAAGAAGTCTTTTTAATTTCAATAATTTCCATTAATTTCTTCTGGAGTTATGGCCCTTGTTTCACTTTGTAGAACACTGTGAACGCTTTAACGACCAAAGTTATCATCCATCTGTATGAAATTTATATGCATTATCTAAATTAGTGAAACAAAGAAGCCTATTGAATTTCAGCAATTTATGTTAATTCCATCTAGAGTTATGGCCCTTGTTTCACTGTAAACTGTGGGCATATAGGAGTAGGGGCGGCTGTCGAACCTTGTGAGTTTTCTCCGGGTACTCCTCCCACTGCTTAAGACGCCTTCGCACAAGCAAATTATTGAAATAAAATTAAACCATATGTTAGTCCCAAAATGACACAAACGCAGGATAAACTCTCTCTCTCTCTCTCTCTATCTCTCTCTGTGGACATATGTTTTCTCGTTGCCTAGTAACCTATATTTATTTGTTTCAGCATCAAGACTCATTCAAATCATCAACCAGTATAGAGAAAGGTTTTTCACATAAAAAAGTGACAAATAAGATGTCTTCCATATTATCCGAATCTCTACCAGGAATGAATTACTCGTCGTCAGTCGATCTCAGTAATACGTTTGTTAAGAATGATTATTTTAGCGATATTAATCCACGTAGTATGAGACGACTGATGAATATTGTCGCTGTTACAGGTAATTTTATAGCCTCTGTTAACCAGGTTTACAATATTTTATTCATAGCCTCTGTTAACCAGGTTTATAATATTTACATTGTATGATCTGGGGATTTTCAACCAGGAGGAATTTCAAATTTCAAAGAAGAGTTTACTTAACTATGAGTTCAGTCCCTTGATATGTGAGTTCAGTCCCTTGACCTGAGAATCTGAATGTTCAGTCCCTTGATTTCATGTGACAACCAAATTTGGTGGGTTTCCATCCCTAATCAATACAACATATTATGATTTTCAGCCCGTCTGCTCCGAGCCTATCATATAGAGTTTAACTGGCATCGTTTAGCAGCTTGGATAAATATTATCGAACAATGGCCGTATAGAGTGTCATGGATTATTTATTATTTTGAAGAAACGGAAGAATTAGATGATTCTACATCTTTACATTCTCTTTATCTAAAGTAAGTAAGATTTATTTATTTATTTCTCGTTCTTTTTCTCCCATCAACAAATTAAGCCATGTTGCCATCTCTTAATTTAACAGGAATTCACCAATCTGATTAAAACACAGATCCTATTTCGTTTTGTTTTTAAAGTTCAAAATTTCGTTTTACTTGTCTTTACTACACTAGGATCTGGAAGAGTTGTTATGTAACCTGTGTTCTGGTTGATGTGAGGGATTAGCTAATGAAATGGTCTGTTATGGCAAGTTTTTGGCGTGAGGTGCTCTAGAAACATGAACGTTGATTGGTTAATCAAATGTCTGACATCATATGGTCAAAAGCCGCTTGTATGACCTCTGATGCAAACCTTCCACTACAACTGGTCAGATCTTCATGTTGTGTAGGCCATCGAAAGTATAAAAAAATGAAGATCTGTATTCTAATCAGATTGTGAATTCATTGGCTTGAGATTGCGCATATCATTATGGCTCTACATTTATCTCTTGGTGTTGTTTGATTATCCAGTATTATTTATGATTGTCAGTAACATTTATCAGAGTTGTGCACTTGATAATTGAGCCTATGTTACATTTCTCGATTCATTCAAATTGTTTTATTAAGCTACTTCACAGTATCTGCTACAAAATATTTACATGCCCAAATAATGAGATAGTTTTTAATTTGTTTTGAAATAAAAATGGATCATGCGGCTATTGTTAAACATACATTATTCAAGAGTTAAATCTGCCTATTGCACGTCTTTCTTTAGGCCTGAAATTAGTGAAATATTATATAAACTATTTATTAGACATTTATTAACATGAAAAGACCTTAATCAACTCTCGATGTCATCTTATGTGTAGGATTTTCACTGGATTCGAATCCAATTTGCTGCTTAACGCTTATTGATGATCAAGGCTAGGCCTAAAATTCATTCGCTATTATCTTGGTTCAGAGTGAATCAGTTTGACTGAAATTTTCAGCATATTTTACTTACTATTTATCTATTATAGTGCGAACTGCCAGCTCTTTATCTAATCTCCCATAATGCCCCATTAAGTCATGATTATTGGAGAACCAGAATATGGTTAACTAATTATATTTCACAGATGATTCCTCGGTTATACTTGAAAAGAGGTGGGGTTTTCTCCAGGTCCTCCGGTTTCCTCCCACTGCTAAAGACCCCTACGCGCAAGCGAATTATTGAAATAAAATTAAACCATATGTTAGTCCTGAAATGACCTAGTTTGTGTTAAACCCAATTTCTCTCTCTCTCTATTTGATAGATGTTATTTATTAATTGTAGAATATCTCCACGGATACCAGCATCAAAAGAAATAGATCCTCTTTTAGAAATAGATCGTAATGTTAGAAAACTTGAAGCATTTTTAGCCAGTAAATCAGGCAATTACCCTCTACTTAATATTAGTGATCTTCGCAAGTTTCTTGGCTGTACCATTAATTTAGATCCTTACTTACGTAAACTAATCAGAGGTAGGCTCCTGTTTTTCTACAATTTTTACTTTTATTTTACAATTCTAACAAAATGTGTTATACTTATGAATTGTCTAAGTTTTTCTGACATATTGGATGATAAACCTATATACGGTAGGTGTAAAACAGAATAATCCTCGCAGCTATGTAAGGAAAATGATCCAATGTACCCGAAAAACCTAAATAATTATATATAGTCAACATACATGATATATTTATGTATTTAAATAAATTAAAGATACCTTCCCGCGTACAAACTGGGTGATCTGATGACATATTTGGACTAAAAACATTTTCAAACTAATTAATCTATCAAATATTTGCTTCAAATTCTTCTCAAAACGATGTTGTCTGTAATCGCTGGTTATTTATCATAAACATCGAAGCCTAATTAAATTCTTGGATTATCCACTGCCCACGTCGTTTTCCGTGGTTTTTATCTCAGTAACTGTTGTACGTTTATGCTCACCATCAAGTTTATCAACATACGTCAAGTGCTCTTTAACGCTGAGAGATCAGACAAACTTTGGGTGCAATCTTTGACGTCACTCAAGCAGACATTGATGTATGCGCTCCATGGGTGTTTTTAAGGGAATCCAGTATTTTTCTAGTAAGATTGGGTGTCTATACATTTATACCAGAATTGCCGTACTTTTATTGGAAATAACCACCCGATAAATACTTTTGTGGGAATGTATCTTTAACAATTTATTTGTGTTACAGATGCCAATTTATGTTATTGTTAAGTCGTGTTGATTGGGTTGGGTTATTGTCAGGATTGTGTTGCCATGGTACCAATGAACTTGACATCAAATTGTCTGTGTTGTCATCATTGTAGGCTAAATTATCAGTGTATTTCTTGACTTGGATTAAATCGACCAATGATTACACCCATTATGATAATGAATATATTTTCTGTATTTATTTTAGAGTTTCAACATAATGCAGATAGAATGGATTATGGTATTAGTGGACTATATCCTCCCCAACCTCCTCCACCACCAGGCATGGTATCCCGAGAGAGCGAAGCTAATTTTCTAGGTTCCCGGTTTCCCAGTAAAACCAACACAATGGGTACTCCGACTAGACATCCATTAAATATGGCTTATGCCAATCAAATGATGCAATATGGTAATGCCATGTCTGGAATGATGCCAATGTCTATGCAGATGCAGATGATGCCTCCTGGTCCTGCGATGTCTTCAGCTTCATGGCCAACATCAAGACCATCTCCTCAGGTTTTCCTCAAAGTGAGTTTGTTTGTACTAGTTTGTTAACTTACTCAATATTAAACTTGGTATAGTTTTATTCTGGTTTTAGACTGGCCAAACCTTATAAATTATATGAACAACAAAAAAAAGCTAAGGTATATTACATCAATCTGGTTAAAACACAGATCCTATTTCGCTTCGTTTTTATAGTTCAAAATTTCGTTTTTTTTGTCTTCACAACACTAGGATCTGGAAGAGTTGTTATATAACGTGTGTTCTGGATGGTGTGAGGGATTAGCCAATGAAACGGTCTGTTACAGCGACTTCTTCACAACACTTGGATCTGGAAGAGTTGTTATATAACGCGCGTTCTGGATGGTGTGAGGGATTAGCCAATGAAACGGTCTGTTACATCGACTTCTTGGCGTGCTCTGCACAGAACTATTAGTAAACCACTAGAAACGTCAACGCTGATTGATAACGTATCACAAAACGTATCACGTATATTATGTTAGTTGTTCGGCCCTAAGAGAGGATTTTAATGGCTTTTAACACAAAATTAAGCAGTTTTATTCTCCAAAATATAATCTAGATTGGTCCTTTAAATAAAACTGTTTTATATTTCAGGAATACAACAGAGAATTTCACTTGAGCCAAATGTCTGTGATCGATGTCAGTCTATTGCTAGAGAAATTATCAGGAATCAACCAGTCTATGGTCTCTCAATATGCCATCGCCGTCCGCGAAAATAACATCACAGGTTTAGTTTTGGCAAACTGTGATATGGATGAACTGGGAAAAGTCATGGGGATGAAGTTTGGCGACTGGCAGCTTTTTAAGGCAGCCATTTTATCATTGAGAGAAGTTGAATATCAGCCACAAGACGATGACCCTAACAACTTAGGACCGGGTAAATATAGCGACAGTGTTCTTTATGGGAAAGATGCCGACAAATCTCGACGTATGTCAACAGATATTGATGGAAATACTCGGAGGAGAGCGTCTGCTGGAGCGCTGAGAAAACAGTCGTTTGGAAGTTCACAGACGAGTCCTCCAAGAGGAGACGATTTATCTCCAGTCAAACCAAGATTCAAACGAAACGACAGCATTGTTCAACAACTCAGTTTGGAAACGGCAATTTTACGTGAGGCTCTCGAAGAATTCACCGAAGAAGGCTTGATTGAAGAGATGGACGGACCAGATAAACCTATGTTTAATATTTCTGATGACGAGGGGGTTAATAGTTACACTGATAATCTCAAACAGTATCCTATCAGATCAATGTCTTGTCCAACAAGTTCCATAAGGTCCGGAATTAACGATAAGGTGGAACCTGATATAGATGCAGCCGAATCGGACATCATGACTGCTTCAGCAATTGAGGAGATATCATCAACAAGCACGACTGATCATGAACCCCATTCAAGCATTGCCAAGTCATTTTCAACCAGTATCGAAAAACTTACCAAGCCCATTGTCCAAGCTTTAGAGAACCGAAAGACGAAGAAAATGGACACCATTCCGCTTGTTGGCTTATCTTCCAGTTCTTCCACTGACTGCTCAACCGAAAATCTTGAGAAAAACGAGGGTAAACTGGGTGAAGAGTCGCGATCTGTACCTGCTGTTATTACCATTGAATCTGATAATACTGGTAAAAAACAAAGCAGTGGAAGTTTAAAATCTGCTGAAGATTATTTCATGTCAACTGTTGAAACAAGTCATAAATCACAAGATGAAACTGGTAGTGAATATTTCCTGTAAGGGTTGAATTTAGGACGTTCTTAGACTCTCTAACCATACACTATGGTATAAAGACTCTCAAGCCATACACTATGGTATAAAGACTCAAACCATACACTATGGTATAAAGACTCTCTAACCATACACTATGGTATAAAGACTATCTGACCATACACTATGGTATAAAGACTCTCTAACCATACACTATGGTATAAAGACTCTCTGACCATACACTATGGTATAAAGACTATCTGACCATACACTATGGTATAAAGACTCTCTGACCATACACTATGGTATAAAGACTCTCTAACCATACACTATGGTATAAAGACTATCTGACCATACACTATGTTATAAAGACTCTCTGACCATACACTATGGTATAAAGACTCTCTGACCATACACTATGGTATAAAGACTCTCAAACCATACACTATGGTATAAAGACTCTCACCAAAACTCACAATGTTAGTCAACAAATGATTAAAATCGATCAAGCCTAACATAAATCATGGTTACCTAAAGATAAAATTACTTTCTTTTGCTTTTATTCTGCCATCTATATTTGCCAGTCAGCAACTCATTTTTACCCATGAACATCAAGGTCAAGATTGTATCTACGTGTAACATACGTTTTTATATGCCCACATTGAAATGTGGTGGTATATGGTCGTCAGTCCATCTGTCCGGGCTAAAGTTAATATCTGATTGAATTTAAATTTATACACAGTGTTTAAGATCATGAGACGAAGAAGCTTATGGATTTTCAGCGATTTCTGATAATTACTGCCAGAATTATGGCCCTTGTGGATGCTTTAGAGGCTCAAGTCGCTAAAGTTAATATCCCATTGACTTTATATTTACTACAGTGTTTAAGGTCATGAGACAAGAAACCCATCAATTTTCAATGATTATGGAAATTGATATTTAATATTTTGTATGCTAAATGTTAGAATAGGGCAGAACTAGAAGCCAAATGGGTTGTTACTTGTAATCAGATTTTAGTGCGTTGTAAATGTTTTCATTTCTGATAAGAGAAAAAAATATGCGACATCCCTCTTTGACTCCCCGGACAACTTAGCTGCTGTGGGTGTATGTTTTGTTGCCTGGCAACCTGTCTTTTCTTATAATTGTCCAACTTTTTATCTAAAAAAACCACTTTTTAGCCTGTTAAATTTAAATATGGAAATACCTATAGGCCTTTTGGTGCATTGTTGCTTTATAATTGTTTCTAAAAGATAAAATTATGGTAAACATGTGTTGAATGAAACCTACATACATGTATGACGACTTTCTATCTTGCCTTAGATTATGAGTCCTCCCCAGGCTTATTATAGATTTACCATTGGCTCTCTGATCATTTACAAAATTGACTCTCTGATGATCATGTATTAAAAATTGACTCTCTGATGATCTTGTATTAAAAATTGATTCTGTTGATTTTTTTTTTTAATTAAAAATTGACTTTGATGATTTTGTTAATGGATATTTTTAAATGATTATTACTATAAAATCAAAGGTTATGAAATCTGTTTGTAATACGACAATTAATAAATATGTGCAATTGAACTTCCAATAAAACAATATGTGCAATTGAACTTACAATAAAACAAGTGTAAAACCTATACATGTATTGTCCTTGATTATATAATACAGGGGGGGGGGGGATGGCTGAATGGTTAGCGTGTGCAGTTTGTATCAATAAATCTGTCATTGAGTCAACTGGCTTGGTTTCGATTCCCCGGTTGTACGTGACAAGGAGTAGGGTCACCTGTGCAACCTCGTGGGTTTTCTCTGGGTCCTCCCACTGCTTGAAATGACCTGATTTGCATCGAGTGGACGTTAAACCCCAATTCTCTCTCTATATAGATATATATATATTTAGATCCCTCATACCATTTATACAGGATTGGCTGGCCTAGTCATTCAAGTTTACAGGGAGCCACGCTGGGTCAGTGAGTAAGACACTGGCTCAATAGCGTGGAGATCTTGAGGTCACTCCCATTGTTATTACTTTAGATTATCCAGCAATGGTTTACCCTTGTCAGCGATGCAGGAAGGAGGGGCCTGACATGGCAGCTGTCTAGTTGTTCGGATGGGACGGAAAACCGAGGTCCTGTTTACATGTTGGCTCGTACACGTAAAAGAACACTTGGCAGTTGGAATTTGATATAAGAGTAGGCCGTAGCGCTGCTGTCCGGACAAAATTTCCCCCATAGCACACTGTATGACATATGCCAGTCGAAGCAGAACAGTAGGACTTAAACCCTGTTACATTTCAAAGTGTACATTTGTAGGGTATTTATGTAGGTTTTTTTTTCAGTGGTTTCTTCTCTCTCGTTGTTGATATTTGATTCCTGCATGTTTACCTCTAACTACAATTCCTTTTCTTGTGATCAGTGCTGTGGATGCCATTACAACTGAAGTTTCTGTGACCGTTCAGGAATTATAACAACTGTTGACTGGCCGATGAACCTGGGGTATAGTCCTTCTCATAAACCAGGTTTGGGCAAAATTTGGCCATTTCCTCCACCTCTGTTGACAAAAATGTTCACATGATGACCTTATCAAAGTATGTCTGATTTTGATACTGGTTTCTCCCCTTTTCTATTTAAAGAACCTGTGTCCATCTGTGACATAAACAAGTACAACTTGTTGGTAGTATGTGAAATTCCCTAATAGAGCAGAAATGGTATAGGATGTTCCTTTTAAAGCATGCTCAACATCCATCACTACCAGATAGAACAGAACCGTGGGCCAACTTGCCGATTTGTTTAAATACAAAAGTCGTAGATATATATAGAACTTCCAAATAAATGAGAAGTGGTAACATGACTTCCAGAGTACTGGTAACCGCTGGTAACCACTTGAAGCAATTATCGTGCATTGATCATATCTTAGAGTTGTCTTTATTTTATGCTGGGGATTGGTCAACACCCACCAATCTTATTAAAATACACATCTATGTTTCGTTTCGTTTTTTTTAATACTTTCGATGACCTACACTACATGAAGATCTGAACAGATGTAGTGGAAGGTCGCATCAGGGGTCATACCAGCAGCTTTTGACATTATGTTGTCAGAAAGTTGATTAACCACATGCCAACAACCCACCGTAACAGACTGTTTCATTGGCTAATCCCTCACATCATCCAGAACGCAGGTTATATAACAACTCTTCCAGATCCTAGTGTAGTGAAGACAAGTAAAACGAAATTTTGAACTATAAAAAAACGAAAGGAAATAGGATCTGTGTTTTAATCTGATTGGTCAACACCAGATGAAGGCCTGGAGGATAATTTACATGTGTTAGTCTCCACCCAATGCTACTTATTAATAGAAATGAAGTCAAATTTAACATTTTACTTTCCTCCACCAACTGGGCTGATGAATATAGAATACACCCAACAACGTGCTATGAGGGGAACTTTTTGCCCTGACAGTGGCACTATGGCTTTCATCCTATTTTGATTTGCTGCTGTCAGAGGATCTTAAAGGACAATATTGGTGTCAGTCATTATCAAATATGTGATGGAACTGGTTAAACAGGTTCCAAAAATAATTTTAACACAGAGATCATTGCTATGGACAATAGATGCCTAATGAAGATTTCAAAAAACGGAAATGACGAAAGCAACCGGAAAACACGAGTTATCCTTCTATATAGCTGACTGAAGTGACGAGTGATAACAGATACACAGACGAATTTCTGCTCACTAATAATTCCTTCGAAGACCAATAGTTTTTATATTAAGATTGTGAGAGGATATCTGTTATGCATCTATCGTAGCAATGATTTCTGTGTAAAACCAGTTCTATCACATAATAATGACTGACACCAATATTGTCCTTTAAATATCAGGACCTTGGTTATTCACCTTGTCTTGACAACAAGACACAATGGAAAACAACAAGAAAATCCCGAGGAACTACCTGGGCCAACTGGGACTACCTGGGCCAACTGGGATCGACCCTGGAACCTGATGAGTAAGTTACCAACAGACGGTAACTGATTACAACACAAGACCAATAAATCGGACATTTTTAATTATTAAATAATTATTTTGAAGTACCAGTCATTTTAATATAAAAATTATGCTTGCCATCAAATATATAAAGAAGTTCAGTATATTGGATTTATTAGCACTTTGTTGTAAGAACCAGGCTATTTTTTTTTTAAAACAGAGTTGGTGAACATTGTGTATATTGACGATGGATAATCTCATCTTTAAAGACAAGGATGATAACTGCTAACATGATCACTATGGCAACAAAGAGAAGAAACTGTGATCTAATTAACCATTTGATTCGACCTTGTAATATCACAGTATTATTTTGTAAAACGTCTAACTGAAATGACAAACAGTAAAAACCAGGATTAAAGTCCAGGCATTAACAAATAACTAGACTGGATAACCTGCTCTAATACGTCAGACTCGCTCCTACGTCACTCCTTTTCTGACTTGCATATAGAGACAGGTAGTGGGCAGCCATGTTTTGACGTAGTGTTACTAAAAATAGACGGGTATCCCTAATGATGCCGTTCAGCGTTAAAATGAATAAGCTAGAAGATTTGTTAAGCTTTTCTTTAATGTCTAAGATTGCTAGCCAAATTAAACGTTGATCGTGCGACATCTTATTGTTATCTTAAACCCAAACAAAGCGACAGTTTAAAATCAGCTCTTATAATAATCAGATACAATCGTGTAGGCCTACCGGCTATGGCAAATCGCTCATCATAGTCAATAAGTCATATTTCATTTGATTTATTGCCGTATTTCTCAAATTCCAAAATATTAACTATTGTTCTGTTAAATTCCATTATTGAGAAAAAAATTGCATAGTTTCGGCTCTAATCCACAAGCTAAACCTAAACTACCGCTCCATATAATTGGTGTTGACATCTTTATTGCATACTTCAGCGTCCGATCATGTTTTTGTTTACATTGGTAATGTGCGCAGAAAGACGTGCGCACTGCCCGCTACCTGTCTCTATATTGAAGTCAGACTAGCGCAGTGACCTAGGAATCAGTCTGACGTCATTTAGAGCAGGTTGTCCAGTCTAACAAATAACAGGCTCAATTTTTATTACATAAAAACATAAGTTGATGTTACATAATGACTAATGAATGCAAGCAGGACCACCAGGGGTGTCGATAGCGGACAGGTTGATATTAAAATTGGTTTCATGTGTCAAGATGGCAGGAAGCGTCTATAACATCTGTCATGCTATGTAACATTACAGCAATATTAAGCCTTATATACAAATAACCTTACCTGTTTACTTATTTTGAATAATCTTTGATCGGATGTTAAATTTAAATCTGTATGATCTACACTATCTGTATCACTATATGTCTGTATACATCGTAATCTCATAAATAAATAAATAAAAGAATTAGTTACGTATATTTAACGTCCTGTTGACATATTACTACAAAATAACTTATATTTCTATGGTTACACATGCAATTAGAGAACTTTGATTGATTGGACAGCTGTATTTTACACCTACTATTTGTTGAAACCACCCCGCTTGACTCAATCACAGACCTTATGATCTAAAGCGCACGAGAGAGAGAGATAGAGAGATCGGGTTTAACATCCACTCGACACAGACTAGGTCATTGGTACACATTGGCATGCATGTAAAAGATCTCTTGGCAGTTGCAATTCGATATAAGTGTAGGCCGTAGCAATACTGTCCAGGCAAAATTTCCCTCATAGCACACTGTATGGCGTATGCCTGTCTTCATTAGCCCAGTTCGGAGCAGAACAGTAGGAAGTTAAACCTCATTTTATTTCATTTTCATTTCATTTTCAATTTTTAGATTTAATCTGGCAACTTACGTCTGACTTGAATAGTTTGATATTTGTATCGTGCAGATTATTAAAGTGTAGTTGTTCCATTGAATTCTGACTATTACAACGATAGTTCAAGAAAGAAATAAAGTATTTGAAAATAAAAGTAGGAACGATCTTCTGAACACCTGAGAAATAAGATTAAGTACCTGTGTTCCATTATATTTTCTTTTGGCACCATTTTCCATAAATTACTGATACTTTCTGCAGTATCATCTGTTACCTCCATGGACATAATTAAAAATTTATCTTTTATAATGGTACTGCTGTAACCTGATAATAATAATATAGTTATTAACATCTGGTATTTCACCTATGGCTGGATAGTAGGCTGTTACACAGCGTGACAGTTTATTTTTAAACCTTGAGTCAGTGTACACCAGGTTATTTCATTATATAATATTATTCAACACCACGAGGGTCCCTCGTACAATAAGTATAGGGTCTGGAGTATGGGGCCCATGTACAATAAATATACAATTCATAGTATGGGGCCCATGTGTAATAAGTATACGATCCAGAGTATGGGGCCCATGTACAATAAGTATATGATCCAGAGTATGGGGCTCATGTGTAATAAATAGAGGATCCAGAGTATGGGGCCCATGTACAATAACTATACACACATTTGCATGCACATAAATTAGTAGTTGTAGGGAACCATGACAGGTAACCTACTCCTTGTTACAAGCATGGAATCAAACTCTTGAAACTTCATTGACACTCGATCAATCTGATTAAAACACAGATCCTATTTCGTGTCGTTTTTTATAGTTCAAAATTTCATTTAACTTGTCTTTACTACACTAGGATCTGGAAGAGTTGTTATCATTGACGTGTTCTGAATGATGTGAGGAATTAGCCAATGAAACGGTCTGTTACAGCGAGCTTTAGGCGTGTTTTGCACGGAACTGTGGGTAAACCACTAGAAACATCAACGCTGGTTGATTAATCAATATCTGACAGCATGGAGGTCCGGTGTTCGTTCCCTGCAGTGGTGCCAGACAGAGGGCCTGGCAAGGGACAACATATAGTCATTTGTATGGGACAAAAAAATCGAGGTCCCGTGTACAAATTGACGTGCACGTAAAGATCCCTTGGCAGTTGGAATTTGATATAAGAGTAGGACGTAGCATATGTATGGCATATGCCGGTCTTTATTAGCCCAGTCGGAGCCGACTAGTAGAGTGTAAAATCCCACTCTTAAACATTCGACCGCAGCCTATTTGTAACAGAATTAAACATACTTGGCCATGGTTTTAAACTATATGAAAAACTCCCTGTGGCTGTACCCCAACAAGACCCCGACAACATCAAATATTCTCACCAGCTTGTAGATATACATTCACCTCCGTACATGACCCTGGTTTAACTAAACCACTACTGGGTCGAACACGATACTTTTCTGGGGATGTTGTTTTAACTTTATACGCGATAGAATACGGTAACGTGTTGGTGAGAGATATAATGTCATAACTTTCTTTCCCATTTTCATCTATCGTAAATTCTAGTTCTTCTGCCGGACTGAAAAACAAAAGATATTAATACCGGTATTAGATTAACCCCAGGCCTGTAGCTGGCTGGGGGAGTGGGGGGCAAGGGGGGGAAGCCCAACCAATGTCACTCGACTTTATGACCACGTTGGTCGTTGGCTTTGTATTGCAGCCCCCGTTGTCCCCCTACTAGCTACCGGCCTGAACCCAATTTAATTAGTTCCTGGGGAATATAAGACTGGAAAGATTTGAGAAAAGACTTTTCGTGTTCAGTTATCGTTAATATGACAATAGAAAGTTTGGTGAAAATATTTTCTAAGAAAATGTTTTGTTAATGATCGGCCTACTATTTGCTCAAATAGGAGTGGGGAGAGAGGGACTAACACATGGTTCAAATTTATTTCAATAATTCGCATGCGCGTAGGGGTCTTTAGCAGTGGGAGGAAACCGGAGGACGGGGAGAAAACCCACGAAGTTGGACAGGCGACCCTACTCATTGTCATGTACAACCTGGGAATCCAAGTTTTGTATGGTGCGTTTCCCCAATATTATACATTAAATGTATCGGTAATAGTGCCACTCAGCTGTACAGCCACTTACCAGCACATCACTAAGTGCAGACAATCTATAAATTTATTATTAAATTTTAGTCTGCAACTGAAAAACACTGTCTTTTCATTGATAAACATCTAAAAACAGAGCTGATTCATTTTACCTGATTGTTAAAAGTTTTCCTATAAACGAATTTTCATCTCGGTTGTGTTTTTTACTTTTAGGTGACGTTTTATGGTTGTTTATGTCCTAAAAAAAAATAACATTTTATAAAAATGATTTTATCTAAAACTAGATACTGGTACATAAGGTTGTCAATTTCAAATGGTTTAAAATAGCACACAAGAAATAATTTAATTCACAATTTAATAATGAATCTGATCAACAAATTCTAATTGCCATTCTTAATTCATCAGCAATATCTCTTATTCAACAATGCTTTATTTTTTACCCCCCAAAAAAACTCTCAAGAGATTTAAATCTAGCTAAGAAGATGTAGTCAGTTTATTAACCAGGCTAGTTATAGAGTTGTCTTTATAAATTATTCAATGCTTACTTTTTTAAGTGTGGCATTACTGTTGGTATCTAATGAAATACTTTCATTACTTATACTTTTATAAAGTCGAGAGTCCTGGTCTGCAAATGTCACCTTTAAAAAAAAAAAAAATTAAAGAATATTATGCTGAAAGTCTATCCTTTAGATTAAAACACAAAAACTACATCTTGGATGTTCAAATAGACTTACATTCTCAATGTTTGTCAGCATTTTCATAATTTTGATCAAAGCAACATGTTAGGTTAAGTCTCTGATGACATCATCTGAATGATGACGTCATTGATGTGATGATGTCATCAGTATGCAGCCATAGCTACTAAAGCTAACAATCTCAATCATTAAGTTTTAGGTGATTAAAAGAAATACCCCAAAACATCCCTTAAGCCCACAGAAAAATATATTTAAAAACAGAAATTAAATTCTGAATTTAGGATTATGGTACCGGTATGCTTAACTTCAAGATATTCTAAATTAAACATACATTATGCAAGAGCTAAATATGCCTATTGCAGGTCTTTCTTTAGGTCTGAAATGTTATCTAAATTATTAATTAGACTTTAATAAATTTATCCAGACCATAATCAACTCTCGATGTCATCGCTAGCGTACAATATTTACCGGATTAGAATCCGCTCTGCTGCTCAACGCTCATTGATGATTAAATCAAAAAATGGATAATCGAGACTCTGTTTTTTATTGTACCGACTTTAGTAATGATGATCGAGGATAGGCCTAAAATTCAATCGCTAAATTCTCGGTTCAGAGATGATCAATTTGACTGAAATTTTCAACAAATTCCCTTTACATTATCTAGTTTTTAACTGTTATAGTGAGAACTGCCAGTTCTTTATCTAATCTCCAATAATGTATCTTTAATAAATATGAGATTGAGAAGCTTAAATATCCATGCCAGTCTTTGTTTAAAATTTGTTAATATAATATTCACATACCCAGTTAAGTTATTCAACAGTCATTATTCATGCAAAAATCAAATAAATATTAAATATTTTTCCGTTCCTAATTTGGTGAGACATGCAGATTTTTTCCTGAATGTTTTAATTTATTCAAGGATTTGTCCATTCCTAATGTTGTTTCTTGTACAAACCTATTGCAAACTACAAATTCTACAGTTTGATTAAAACACAGATCTTATTTTGTTTTGTTTTTAATAGTTTTACTTGTATTCATTACACTAGGATCTGGAACAGTTGTTATCATTGACGTGTTCTGGGTGATGTGAGGGATTAGCCAATGAAACGGTCTGTTATGGTGAGTTTCTTGACGTGAGGTTCACGGAACTGTGGGTAAACCCCTAGAAAAGCTAACACCGATTGGTTAATCAAAGTCTGACATCATAGGGTCAAAAGCCACTCGTATGACCCACAACAACCGATCAGATCTTCAATGTAGTGTAGGCCTTCGAAAGAATAAAAAAACAAAATGAAATATAGATCTATATTTTAATCAGATTGTAAATTCTAGTGTAGCCTAGTCAACGGGAATGTTCAAATTAGATTGTATACAAAATATAAGACTGATCTGTCCTTCCATTGCTGTGATTTACAAGAGTTAAACCAAGGCCCGTATTTATACAAACAATGTCAAATACCTTTTTTCTATTTGTCAAGGAAGTTGAATGGTTATTTTCTATTGGTCTGTCTCCACTTCCGTTCTCTATTGGATATTTATACTCAAATTTATCCTGAACAAAAAACAATAAAAACATAAAAAATAAAACTAGAATTACTACATCACAACAATAAATAAGAGTAGTCTACAAATTCATATCTAGTCAAGTTTAAGGGGACATTACACAGTTAAAATTGACGATTCAACATTACAAAAAGAAAAGAAATGAAATAGGGTTTATAGTTTTACACGACTGACTCCACAAAACGAGCTAAAGAACAGACGAAAAGCCATATTCATTTTTTATACTTTTGATGACCTACACTGTACTTGAAGGTCATGTCAGGGGTCGTACAAGCGGCTTTTGACCCTATGACATCAGACAATGATTAATCAATCAGCATTGACATTTCTAGTGGTCTACCCACAGTTCCGTGCATGTCACGCCAAAAGTCGCCATAACAGACTGATTCATTGGCTTATCCCTCACTTCAACCAGTACGCCGGTAATATAACAACTCTTCCAGACAAGTAAAACGAAATTTTGAACTATAAAACCGAAACGAAATAAGATCTGGTTTTAATCAGATTGTTAGATAATATTAACTTACTAAACCTCCCATATGTTCTAATAACTCCTCTCTATTTATAAATTCCTGTACATCAGATTTTGTTACAAATTTTATAACTTTTACAGCATCGGCACTGAGCCAGGCTTTAATAACTTTCCATGCAGCTAAAATAAAATTAAAACATTTCATTGTTATAATGATGTCAAGTTCATTTTAAAGACTATAAAAATCTTATCAAAACATCAGGACTTCAACTGTGATTGACAACTTAGTCTTTTTGTTCACTTCTATTCTATAATTTGATTTCTGGTTAATTCAGCCCAATATTCCAGAATTAACACAGATTATATGTAATAGAATGTAGTCTTAACGGAAAGTATATTGGTCGGAAACTTGTTAAAATCAATCAATTCTAACACAATTTATTGGGGTTTAACATCCACATTAAAGGCTATATCATTTCTGAACCAATATATCAGTAATAATTTGTTTGTGCACCCAGGTCTAAACTCCAGAGGCCATGTAACAAACCTATGTTACGGCCCAGGGGATTCAAACATCACAATTTGACTTGACTCAATCACAGTCCTTAGTATCTAAAGCATACATGGTAGACTACTATTTAAGAACACTCAACTTTATTAGTTACAAGTTTTTCTTTTTATAATGAGCAAGTCACGATCACGTCGCTCTGCCTATACAGATATTTTAATATCTGTACAGGCAGAGCGACGTGATACTTAAAAGTATTAAATATAATTACCATTAAAAATCCAAGGCATTTCATAAATCAACATATATGCTGAAAAAAATTAGAATAACAATTTAAACATTCATTAGATAACCCATGCATTTATTCCTGGGTAAATTGTTTGAGAAAATCAAATCATAAGTTAATGTGCCACATCTAATGGTGAAATGATCATATCTCACTATGTTTGTCCATCGATTCCTTTTGCCTTGGAGGAGCCGATGTGGCTAAGTGGATAAGACGCTAGCTCGCTAGTCTGGGAGTCATGTGTTCGTTCCCTGCATTGGCCGAGAAAGTTCATCAGCATTTTCCGACGTGGTTTCCCCTTGTCAGTGGTGCAGGATGGAGGGCCTGACAAAGACATATGTCTAGTCATTCGGATGGGACGAAAAAAATGAGGTCCCGTGTGTATATTGGCATGCACGTAAAAGATCCCTTGGCAGTTTGAATTCGATATAAGAGTAGACCATAGTGCCACTTCCTAAGGCAAAATTTCCCTCATAGCACACTGTATTGTTGTTAGTTAGTTGTATTTTACGTCCGCTTCCACCGAGGTGATATCGCAGACAAGCACACTGTATGGTCTATGTTTGTCTTTATTCGCCCAGTCGGAGCAGAACAGTAGGATGTTAAACTCCATTTCATTTCATTTTTTTTCCTTGGAATAATCTTAATCTGTCTAATTGTCAAATCATGTCATGTTACCGGACACATGACAGAAACCATAGACATGGTTAAAATGATGCCAAATATCACAATAAGAATAACAGCCTTGATACATGCTATACTACCAGTATCGTTTAGCTTATCAATGTACCAGATATGTGTGTAAGTGGTCATTGTTCTGGGGAGTTTTTTTTTAAAGTCAACTTTGGAATTAAACATTAGTTGCAAACTTTTAGTTTCATACCTTTGTTAATTGATTTAGTAAATTAAGTGAATTTTTTTACTCTAGTTAGTGTCTTTTTCAAATACTCATGAGCTCCTCTAGCCCCTTTTACTTTCACCCTTAAACACATGAATACAGATATCTAAACTACAAGTTAGACTGGTTTATTAAAATCAGTATTTTCCTCTTATATATAGCAATGCCTTGGCTGTATTGCTCTATATAGCAATGTGATTTTTAGCCGTAATACACAGCCCTGGTACAACTGGAGATACTGATATTTCATTTGAGAGAGAGAGAAATGGGGTTTAACATCCACTCAACACAAACTAGGTCATTTCGGGACTAAAATATGGTTCAATTTTAATTCAATAATTTGCTTGCGTGTAGGGGTCTTTAGCAGTGGGAGGAAACCAGAGGACCTGGAGAAAACCCACGAGGTTGGAAAGGGACCTTAATCCTTGTCACATTCAACCGGGAAATCGGAACCACACCAGTTGACTCAATGCACGCACACACACGTGCTAACCATTCAGCCATCCAATCCCCCTGATATTTGATTTGAGTATGAATCAGAGAGGTGTGGTTCTATTGTTTAATGTAAATTAAATAAATGTAGACAAACCTAGGAATGTAGGATAGTAGTATTTAAAACAAGTTATAACATATTTAATCAGTTCCATGTCCTGAAATATAATATTTTAATTCAATTTCTCCCTATCTCTCAAGTCAATCCAGACGTCTATATAATTTATATTAACATGAGCTGATAGGAGTTCAATCAATTCTATTCTGTTGTATTGATGTTAAATCTCTTGTTATCAGTCCAATCACCTGTAATCAGTCCAATCTATTGTAATCAGTCCAGTCTCTTGTAAACATTAAATACTCCTATAAAAAGACATATTTCTTTTGGAAAAGTTTACTTTATTCACTTTCTTGTTCAAAATAAATTTCATGTGAAGAAATTATACTGAACTACCCACTACAGGATGTAGATTCATACAACAATAGGAAAACTATATTCTTTCTATAATGTATCAGTTTATTGCCTTGAGAAAAACTTTGTCTCGTGAATATTAGTGAGACTGTCACTTTAAACATACATTATGCAAGAGCTAAATCTGCCTGTTGCACGTCTTTCTTTCGGCCGAAAATGTTATCTAAATTATTAGTTAGACATAAAATAACTTATCCAGACCATAATCAACTCTAGATGGCATCGCTAGCCTGCAATAATTACTGGATTAGGATCCGATCTGCTGCTCTATGCTGATTCATGATTAAATCATGAAACGGATAATCGAGACTCTGTTTTTTATCGTACCAACTTAAGTAATGATGATCAAGGCTAGGCCTAAAATTTAATCACTAATATCTTGGTTCAGAGTGTATCAATTTGACTGAAATTTTCAGCATATTCCCTTTACATTATCTAGTTTTTAACTATTATAGTGAGAACTGCCAACTCGTTATCTAATCTCCCATAATGCCCCTTTACGTAGGAAGCTATATCAAGCAGAAACGATACAGAAATAATTAAATATATCATACCAAGTTCGCTAATCCTGTTTCTGACATATCAAACATAACAACTATCCTATTGGTAGAATCTTCTAAAAATGCCTGTTCTACGGCGTAGGCAAAAAACTTCTTGATACTAGGTAATACATGAACATCTTTTTTATGGTGACGAACAACAATATTCACTGTAAATACAAATAAAGCATACAATATAACAACATGTCGAATAGGGCAGTAATAATGTCTAAATTTCAAATGTCACTGAAAAAAAAACTTACTCAAATGTCACTGAAAAAACGTACTCAAATGAGGTAATATTCATACTAATAGTCATAATCAATTTGTATAGCGCTGAGTGCTCTAGCTAACAAACTGCTCCAGAACGCTCTTCATAATTAAAATACATACAATGTAAAACAAATAGTTCTAAAACATTAAAATGTCAACATATTCATAATCTTTAAGTGGCATTTAGCGATTGGAAAACACATTAATAGAACACATAAAAATTGTGTTCTATTAACATATTCATAGTTTAAAAGCACGTTTAAAAAGTTCAGTTTTAAGATTTTTTTTAAAAACAGCAACGTTAGTAGAGGTTTTTTTACATAACTAGGTAATTCATTCGACACGTTAGCAGAGGCGTAAACTGGTAGCCAATGAAGGTTTTGAAGTACTGGAGTAATGTGTTCATTCCACACGTTAGCAGAGGCGTAAACAAAAGCTTGTTCACCAGTTTTGGTTTGTACTGCAGGAACATGAAGTAAGTTTTTATCAGCAGGGCACAGGGTACATTCGTTGATAAACTGGTAGCCAATGAAGGTTCAGATTGTTTAGTTAGAGAGACGATACATTCAGTCTTAATCTTTTACACATATGGAAACAATCTACATGAACGTGTAATTATGCTCATTAAGTCGCATCGATGTCATCCTTATCAGCGATTGTAGCAGCCTAGCGAATATTCACTTCTGATCAGTGTGCCAATCACCCTCTATGACTACACAATGCATTGTTTAGTGTAAGGGAGGAAACTCTTGTTAAAGTCCCCTAGTTTATTACATAATAACTTACTTATTCTGTGACCATCTTTATCTTTACTGTGAAAAAAAACTGCTCCCTTATCCCAGATCCATTTATCAAAAGAATCTTCGCATAAATCTAAAACGATATAAATATTGACTAGGTTACTTTTAAATTCAAAGTTGAGCATGGACAAATTTTGGGGTGATAAAATTGCATTTATGGTCATTTTTAATGTCAACTGAATTTACTGTGTTTTTTTTTTAATCTGGCTCAGTCAGGCTCTGGCTCACTAATTCGAAGAGAAGGGGTCCGATCCCAGTGTTGGCCAAGAAATTTCCACAGGATTTTCTAGAGTGGTCTCCTCTTGTCAGTGGTGATGGGTAAAGAACATGGCAAGGTGCAGCGTCTAATCATTGGGATGTGACAAAAAAAAGAGAGGGATAGAGAAATTAATGGGGTTTAACATCCACTTGACACAAACTAGGTCATTTCGGGACCAACATATGGTTTTAATTTAATTTCAACAATTCGCTTGTGCGTAGGGGTCTTTAGCAGTGGGAGGAAACCGGAGGACCCGGAGAAAACCCACGTACAACCGGAGATTTGAAACCACGCCAGTTGACTCAATGACAGGCCTTATGATACAGCGCGCAGGTGCTAACCATTCGGCCATCCAATCCCCCCCAATTCAACGATAGAAAGGTAATTATAAGGTAGTGACAGATCATGGAGACAGTAACCAGAAAATCACCTCTAAGTTTGATTTCATTTCTCCATTTAAAAGATTCATGTAGAAGATCTTCTGCTGGTGTATCATTTCGTACGTAGGTTTTTAAAAAGCTATCTTCGTTTCTCATACATTCTAAATCACGACTATCATACAATCCTTTCGTTATATTATCTTAAAAATAAAATTAAAAACAATATCCAATACTTGTTGTTCTGATATCAGGAAAACCCAAGAGTAAATGTACAAACTGGTATTACCTGTAAAAACACCTTGGTATTTGGAATTTAAAGGACAATATTGGTTTCATTATCACATTAGTGATAGAACCGGTTAAACATGTTCCAAATATAATTTGAACACAGAGATAATTGCTACGATAGATGTGTAACAAAGATTAAAAAAAAACGGAAGTGACGAATGCAAAAGGAAAACACAAGTTATCCTTCTATATAACTGACTGAAGTAACGAGCGATAACAGATACACAGGCGAATTTCTGATAATTCCTTAGAAGACTAAAAGTTGTTATATGAGAATGTGAAACATCAACGCTGATTGGTTATTCAAATGTCTGGCGTCATGGGTCAAAAGTCGCTCACATGACCTCTGACAAGACCTTCCATTACAACCGGTCAGATCTTCATGTAGTGTAGGCCATCGAAAGTAAAAAAACAAAACGAAATATAGATCTGTATTTTAACCAGACTGCTTCACTGACTACAAACGAAAGAAATAATGATCCTACTTCATACCTGCATATTTTGTTTCAAACTTTGATCTTATTTTCTCTAATTCTTCTTTGGTCATTTTTTTCTGAAATAATCCACAATATTTAAATTATAATTTTATACCCAACCCAGTCACAGAGATGCATCAGTGGGCTTTAGCTATTATTTTAAAAGAGAAAATAAAACAGCTAATCTTCTCATAAATCCAGGACCTGTGCCCTCAAGAGCTACTGACCACACCCACTCAGGTGGATCACACATCAATTGGTATAACTGTGAATGCTTTATAATATTTCTTATTTAAATGTGTCTCAAGAACTTACCTGTCTTGTAATTATTAACTTATTAACGATACTGATTACTAAGAACTACAGGTAAACAGAGAAAGATAGAGAGAGAGAGAGAGAGAGAGAGGGAGAGAGAGATAGGTCATTTCGGGACTAACATATGGTTCAATTTTATTTCAATAATTCGCTTGCGTGTAGGGGTCTTTAGCAGTGGGAGAAAACCCACGAGGTTGGACAGGCAACCCTACTCCTTGTCACGTACGAGCGAAAATTGAAACCACGCCAGTTGACTCAATGACTGACTTTATGATACAGCGCGCACACGCTAACCATTCGGCCATTCAATCCCCCCCAGAACTACAGGTAAGAAACAAAATGGAATGAAATGAAATGGGGTTTAACGTTCTACTGTTCTGCTCCGAACTGGGCTAATGAAGATGGGCATACGCCATACAGTGTACTATGATTGAGGGATATTTAGCCCAGGACAGCAGCACTACAGCCTACTCTTATACTGAATTCCAACTGTCCAGGGATCTTTTACAAGCACGCCAATGTGTACAGAGGACCTCATTTTTTCATACCATCCAAATGACTAGACAGCTGTCCGTGTTAGACCCTCTGTCCTGCATCACTGACAAGGGGGAACCATGCCGGAAAATCTGGACGAAGTTTCTCGGCCAATCCAGGGATCGAACACCCGACCTCCAGGCTAACAAGCCAGCATCTCGCCCAATTAGCCACTGTGGCCCCCGGTAAGAAACAAACATGGATGGTTATTACTAGGCCCATTGTAGGCCTATGTACTGAATACACAAGTTAGAACATTCGATAATAATTTTGTACATTGCACAGGTTCAATCTGTTTAAAATGATACAAAAACAAAAAAAGATATAATTTTATTTAGATTTAGCGTGTTCTGATTATACCTTTATCCTCTTCATAGTGAACCAATATTATTAAATTCCAGAGCATGTCAAGAGGGAGTCAGATAGTATATTTTTATTTTTCTCCTACATTCATAGAAATAATGTCGAACAAATAATCATTGCTGCTATTTTAGCCTCACTCCACCGTTATCCTCTATACACATGTGAGCATAAATTTTGTCTCTGAACTTCTGATTTCATTAAATTGTCAGGTAATCCTCCAGACCTCACGCCAAATTGACGTCGTGTCCACCTTTTTGGCTCCCTCTGCTGCTCAAATTCCTGAACACGCCCCCTGTGATGGTGCTCCCATTAAGATATCGTCCATCAATAATACAATATTCCAATATATCACAGTAGGGTTTTAAAATAATGAGGGGAAGGGATGAACAGTTATCTATTGCTAATCTACCAGATGTGACATGTAATGTCTGCTATTAGCTAATACTAAATATTCAATGATCCAAATGGATTTTCATTCAAGCATAACGATTAATATAATACACCTCAATGAACAATACTAAACCCATATTTAATGAACTAATTGAAACATACTATAAACTATCAATTTAATTTAATGTGGTATTAATATATTGTAGTGATTACCGTAATAGATTGTGTATCAATTACATGTGATATATCCTGCTGATCATAACAAACTAAATACTGAAAGCCTGTTGACATTATTGTCACAACATCTTGTAGACAGCAGAATTCATGTAAACAGTAGGCCTAATATATGTGTCATCATGTAATGTATTTACATGTATGTGTTTTTTATGTTGAAGGCCTATGTATTATTAAATGTCTAAGTGTATATATGTATGTATGATGTCTTAATAGACGTTTTGATGCAATATATAAACATCTTATCTTATCTTTGTGACAGCCTACCTATAATTACACTTTTTTCTAGAACTTGTTTCAACCACTAGAAATATAATTATTATTCATTTCCACCAACTATCCATGGTCGGACATTGAGTGTTGGGTTAGATAATTGTGTCTTGTGATCAGTAGTAGATCTAGTAGGTTATAAGTTGTCATTTACCGTAAACATCCTAGCTACTTACCTTTTGATTATCGCCTCTGATGATTGTTTACACGATTTACTTCCGGTATAAAGACCACCGGAAGTATTGTGAACAGTTTTCTCAATCTAAAAAAGATATTCGGATTGACAGGCGGTGAATATAAAATCCGAATAGATCGGAGACGGCCCTGCCCATTTTAGCACATAAGATAAGATAAGATAAGATTTTATTGTATCGAAACATCCATTGAGGACAGCATACGATATAAACATGTAGTACATGTACATATATTTATAACAATATAACAAATAATATTTACACATAATACAACGGTAATTTAAATCTAGCTAATATAAACTCAGCCAAATTAAAAACTTGACACTCGGGATTTTTGGGACTAGATTTTTAATATTTGGTTTAAAGGACATTATTGGTGCCAGTCATTATCACATATGTGATAGAGCTAGTTAAACACATTCCTAATATAATTTTAACACAGAGATCATTGCTACGATAGCTGAGTAATACAGGTTTCCCGAATAGGAAGTGACGAACGCCAAAGGAAAACACGAGCCATCTCTCTATATAACTTACTGATGTGACGAGTTATAACAGACACACGGCCGAATTTCTGCTCACTAATAATTCCTTTGAAGACCAAAAGTTGTTATATGGGACTGTATGAGGATACGTGATCCACGTGATTTTACAATTTTATGAAATTAAAGGCTTATTACTACTTACTATCGTTAGAAACACTTTAAAATTTATTTGACTTACCAGAAAAAAAAATTGTTGAAATTCATCAGTGTCAAGTTTTTAATTTGGCTGAGTATAGATTTACTAACAGGACAACATTAGGTAATGTACACATTTACCTCAAACAGGTTTGATAATGGCACAGCATTCAATACAATTATGATGCATGGGTATAAGTATTATAAATACATAAATAACGAGAAGACTTATTATAGGTTACTATTTACGTGGAAATATCAGATATGTTATAATAATGATATGAATCAAGTAATAGAATATGGAATGAAATATGACGTCATATCATATGTGGATTCTAGGTTAGGGTAAGGATTAGGACCTGCAGATTTCATCAACGTCTCGAGATGTATGCCTAAACAAGGCTAGCGCTAACCCCTGGACCAAGCCTTATACCCTATACCCTTAGCGTTCTCCGAAATGCAATCAGAATTAACTCCATCTTTTTGCCTTAAAAACTGTGTTGTTGATGCTTGGAATAGAACGAAACGCAAAATCGCATTAAAATTAGTTGCACTGGTTACAGTCCCGATATAGGCCTACAAACTACAATAAATTAATATTGTGCAAGGTGAATGTCAAATATGAATAACAGTCCAAAAATAGTCCTATTCCCTATCAGTATTTACAAGGGTATGTGGAATTGAAATTTCATCGACCTATCTCTTCGAATCGCTATATATTTTGCCCGACGCCATCAGCTGTTGTCCACAAAAATCTAACGAAATTAATGATGTTTAACGTCCTACTGTTCTGCTTCGACTGGGCTAATGAAGACGGGCATACGCCATACAGTGTACTATGGGGGAAATTTTTCCCGGGTAGCGGCACTATGGCCTACTCTTATATCGAATTCCAACTGCCAAGGGATCTTTTACGTGCACGCCAATGTATACACGGGTCCTCGGTTTTTCATCCCATCCGAACGACTAGACAGCTGTCTTTCTCAGGCCCTCCGGCCTGTATCACTGACAAGTGGAAACCACGTACAAAAATCTTATGCTAGGCCTGTTGTAAATCCGACTGAATCCAAACCAGGATATTATCTAGTATTGGTATTTTGATTTTGTTTTTGTTTTCTTGATTAAATGTTAAATAATCAATCTATGTAGCATGGATTTAAGCCATGTGAAATTTCATATCTTAGCGAAAAATGGCAATGGCGCATCGTTAGGCCTACTTTAAAATATATTTTATGTACATTTGTAGCCTACTTTCTAGATTTTGTTTTGTTGTTTACAAAAACCTTGTAAACCCGATAGAGGCTAGTATTAAACTGATTTTTTTTTCAAATTAGGTGTGCAGAGTACAGTGGTCAAGGCGCACCCTATTGGCATTCCACTACCGCGACCATCCGTTTCGGAGTAACCCCCTCCCCTCTTTCCTGAATAGGCCTAACCCGTTAGAGTGATGAGACTAAAGTTTTTAAAGTGTTTTTTTTTTCAAATTTCGTGTGAGTGTGGAGCTTACTGATTTTCTGCATTCTAGGATTTTCTGTTTCAGAGATTTATTGTGTCTCTACAAGTTTGTGAATACGGCAGAGATAAGATTTCTTGAAGGTATATCTTTTTAAATTTGATCAACATCCAAATTTTTCATTTCATGAGCTGCAGTCTATGACTGTATTTTTCCGAGGCGTAGCTGCTACGTTTCGCTTGGCTATATTAATTTCCAGTACTGATTATTTCGGATAAACAGTAACCAGTTCTATTAATAACCCAGTTTTTGTTGAAGTATCATTTTCCTAATGTAGAATTTAGAAACTTTTAGATTTAGAGTAATGTTTTGTCCATCATTAGCTAATAATTTAAATAAATTGATTTCTTTTTTTATGTATTATGGTCCAAAGCGAGTAGACAATTCCAGATGATCGGAAATGAAATGAAATGGGGTTTAACGTCCTACTGTTCTGCTCCTAACCTGGGCTAATGAAGGCGGACATACGCTATACAGTGTGCTATGAGGGAAATTTTTCCCGGACAACGGCACGACGGCCTACTCTTTTATCGAGTTTGTCAAGGGACCTTTTACGTGCACGCCAATGTGTAACACGGGACCTTTTGTTCGGACCACCCGAATGACTAGACAACTGTCCTTGTCAGGCCCTCCGTCCTGCACCACTGACAATGGGAGAACCACGTCGGAATTTGCTTTTATCAAGGTTGTCAATTCTTTCCTACGTTTTCTGAAAATTAATAACACGGGGATTGGTAAATCATTTAGAAATTTCCCATTAGATTGGAGATTTCCATTTGTTATTTAGTGAATAAATTATATTGTCCATAAGCCCTTTAGGCGCCCGGTACTGGAATTGGTTTATTTCTCATAATCATCTCTTACGAAATACAAGGTGATATAATGAGAGGATATAAATATAAGCAATATATTTTCTAGAAGGGGTCGGGGTGGGTGGACGAATCTCCATTCTTCCCCTGTATGAACATGAATCATACGGACCTGTTCACTTCCTGTCAGTAAATCTAAACAAATAAACACCCTTTACATAAATATCTTATATTTATTGACATACGTACAAAATAAAATTAATTCAAAGTTTTTATTTTTGTCAGGATGTCTTGGCATTTTTCCGTAACTCTGGGTAACTGTCGACGGCAATTTGAATGGCTGTGTCAAGGGAGACAACTGGTTTGTACTTCAAGTCTTTCTTGGCTCTTTCACAGCTGTACGAATGATGGGTTCCAGCTAATGCTACTTTCATGGGTGTAAATGTCGGTGTGAATGCTATGAAAGGTTTAAGTAAGTAGGCAACAAGTTGTAAAAATACGGCGATAAAATATACCAATGTATACGGTAAGTTATATTTGGGTGCATCGTAACCGAAGGATGTCAGAAGTTTTGTCATAAATGTCCAGAAATAAATAGGTTCGTCATTGGTAATATGGTAGGCCTGAAAAACACAATTTTATAAGATATAATATATATTCTCGAATATGCTAATAAAAAAAAACATGTTAAAGGGGCAATAACACTCTTGCTGGCTTGACAGCCCCAGAAAATAAAAAATAGCCTTATTCTAAGTACTAGATGTGTTAGTGTCCTACCTGTTGTGTAAATTATACATTAAATCCTATTTTACTTGTCCAAAGGGTTCAAAAATATTTTTAAATCCAAGTCACATTTGAAAAGCTTTACGTCAGGCTTTTCAAATCATTTAGTTGATTTTTTCCAATTTTTTTTAAATTAGGTGTGTTAAGATGAAATTTGTATCATCAATTAATTGGAATATTGTAAAATAGTACAATTTGTTGACCAGAATAAAGATTGGGACATATTATTCAGTTACAACAAGAGTGGTATTGAGCCTTTAATAGTTTTATCGCAGAAAAATAATCCTTGATGTTCGTTAACCTTAACAAAAGAGGTCGAGGCGTTATTTTCACCCGACACGACCGTCAAACCATGGATGCCTATTCACGGGATAATATCCAAGCGTCGGTATGTCTTCAAACGCGGCCAAAATGGCTAAGAGCCAACTTGCAATTCACCATTTAATTAAAGATACATTATGGAAGATTGGTTAAGAGTTGGCAGTTATCATTATAATAGTTAAAACACTAGATGATGTAATTTAGAAAGGGAATATGCTGAAAATTTCAAACAAATTGGTCCACTCTGACCCGAGATATTAGCGATTGAATTTTTATAGGCCTAGCCTCGATCAAGTACGTTAAAAAAAAACATAGTCTCGATTATCCAATTTTGGATTTAATCATCAATGAGCGTTGAGCAGCAGATCGGATTCAAATCCAGTGACAATCCGACACATAAGATGACACCGAGAGTTGATTAGGGTCTTTTCATGTACATAAATGTCTAATTAATAGTTTATATAACATTTCAGGCGACGGAAAATAGTCCCAGGGCGCGTCAAGATCGCCATAAGCGTGGCGGAAACGCCAAATATCGTGCTGTGGTCTCGATGGTCGCCAGTGATCACAGAATCACGGCGCTTGTTTTGAGCATATTCAAAACAAACGCCAAGGCTCTGCGATCTGACCTGGAAAGCTGTATGAACGCGGCTTTTTTCAAGTTTGTATTTTTTTCGGACAATTTCTTGCGTTGTGTTTACGTTTGCCGGCGACCTTGTACATTTACTGGTGGCCGTACGGTCGCAGCAGTGGAGTAAGGACGCCAAGCCGGTCTGACGAGTGGTTGTAGCGGATTTATAGTTATTATAGATTAAATGAGCTAATGTAAAAGTATTATAACCTTTCCACAAACTGGTGATCCTCTATGTAAATTCTCTGCTGCTAGAATATGACCATGGACCACATTTTCTACAAACGTAAAATCTACTATATTTTTCCCGTTTCTACAAAAGAAAGAAAACACACCTCAGCCAGATATAGTAATGAAACATGAATAGTAACATGGTTTATATCATAAAGAGGTAATAATTACCCCCACAAAAAAAACAAAACAATATTTGGCAATATGCTATGTGTTTGACACGCAAATTTCGCCTCGTCGTCATCGCCTACATTTATAACGGTTCTTTGATATTATGGCGGTTCCCAATTCAACGTCATAATTACTGCCGGCATCTTCTATGTCGCTATATATGTCTTTTTTACTTTGTTTCCGACGTGGTTTCCCCTTGTCAATGACACATGACGGAGGACCGGACAAGAACAGCTGTCTAGTCTTTCGGATGGGACGAAAAACCGAGGTCACGTGTATACATTGGCGTGCACGTAAAAGATCCATTGGCAATTGGAATTCGATATAAGAGTAGGCCATAATGCCGCTTCCCGGGCAAAATTTCCCTCATAGCACACTGTATGACGTATGGCCGTCTTCATTAGCCCAGTCGGAGCAGAACAGTAGGACGTGAAACCCTATTTCATTTCATTTCTTTACTTTGTAAATATTTCATATAATTATCGATGTCGAATATTATAAACATCATCCTCCAATCATTTGTGGGTTTGGATGGCCGAATAGTTAGCGCGTGCGCGTTGAATCACAAGGTCTGTCATCGAGTCAACTGGCGTGGTTTCGATTCCCCGGTTGTACGTGACAAGGAGTAGTTTCGTCTGTCCAATATCGTGGGTCCTCTCCGTCTCCTTAGATTTCCGCCCACTGCCAAACAATCCTAAAATTGTATAGGTTAGTCCCGAAATGACACAGTTTGTGTTGAGTGTACGTTAAATTCCATGTCTCTCCCTCACGTACTACAAAATAGAACAAAAATTAAAATAAAATTACCCGATGATGAATTTGGTTTTTCCTTTTCTAGCCATCGCTACAGACGTGGGAATCATGTGAGGATCACGTGGTCCGAAGATGCCATGGGGTCTGACAGCAACTGTATGGAAATCATTATTATTAGACTCCAGTACTACCTGAAAAACATGAAAGATAGATTCAAAACGTTTTCAATATTGGTTAGGATCATATATTCCAGTACAGCGATTTGTTGTCAAATAACTACACACGACAATCGTGTAATGACAGGGGTATGTTTCAACAATAGGTTTCCATGCAAGATACGGGCACAATTTGCAAGAGATGGACGGAGAACAGGGAACATTCCCTCATTGTCTTAATGCTTCCCATTAAAAATAATCTATTAAAGGTAGCCACGCAAAGCCTGGAATACACCCACACTGCAGCTTTGTCTTAAATGCAGCTTGTCCGAAAAGAAAACTTGGATGTTGAGCAATTTTGCTGACAGGGAACAGAAAATCACAGAACGCTTAATATTGATTAGAGCTCATGACCCCGATGTTTCCCAGCCAATTTGAAAGAAATCTGTTTAAGACTTAAGCATCTATCGTGTTTACAGGGTTTTTGGCAAAGGTGGATAACTTCGGGATTGCCAGGGTTCATACTCTCATGACCCCAATGATTCCCACCAAATTTCAAAAAAACAATCCGTTAAAAACTGTAGCCTCTATCCCGTTTACAAGGTTTTCAGAAAATGAGAGATAATTCCACAACGGAAAGTCGCATAAAGCTGAAAATCGCAGAAGGGAGAATATCTATAGGATTCGCCCCCTCATAACCCCAATGCTTCCCGTCAACTTTGAAAACATCGTTAAAAACTACAGCCTTTATCGGTTCACAAGATCTCTGGAACGGAAAGTCACGGAACACTGAATATTGATAGGGTTCGCCTCTTATGAAAAAGTCGAGGAATACTGGAAATCAATTGGGTTACTTCGGAACGGAAAGTTGTGGGAAGCTGAAAATCGATAGGGTTCATTCTCCGATGACCCGAATGCTTACAACAACAAAATTTGAAAAAATGTCGTCAAAAAATGTAGTCTCTATCGCCTTAACAAGGGGCGGGTGTTACTGCCACAATGTTTCACGCCAAATTTGAAAAGAATTAGTGGACACACAAACAAACGTCCGGACTAACACGTCTGCGTGAAAATGTGGGCGTATAAAAATGAAGAGTGATTTTGTAAATGACGACGGCTGTCAATCAGTAAATCGTGATATTATGCTAATAAGTATATATCGATTAATACTGTACCTATATCTTCTATATATATATTTGTGACTGTCGTTTGTCTGTCTGTCTGTTCGGGGTTGGCGGCTACACTAGGTCTGCCCCGAGTCTGAAATTTCGGGTCTAGGGGTAGCTCGGACCGGGGAGTAACATAGGCCAGGTGGCGTTAGTCTACCACTTCCGGTTTCGGAGTTATGACCCCCGAGCGAAGCCGGTCTGTTCGGGGTTGGCGGCTACACTAGGTCTGCCCCGAGTCTGAAATTTGGGGTATAGGGGTAGCTCGGACCGGGGAGTAACATAGGCCAGGTGGCGTTAGTCTACCACTTCCGGTTTCGGAGTTATGACCCCCGAGCGAAGTCTGTTCGAGGTTGGCGGCTAAATTGCCCCGAGTCTGAAATTTGGGGTATAGGGGAAGTTCGGACCGGGGAGTAACATAGGCTAGGTGGCGTTAGTCTACCACTTCCGGTTTCGGAGTTATGACCCCCCCCCCCCCCCGAGCGAAGCCGGTCTGTTCGGGGTTGGCGGCTACACTAGGTCTGCCCCGAGTCTGAAATTTGGGGTATAGGGGTAGCTCGGACCGGGGAGTAACATAGGCCAGGTGGCGTTAGTCACCACTTTCGGTTTCGGAGTAATGACCCCCGAGCAAAGTCTGTCTGTTCGGGGTAGGCGGCTACACTAGGTCTGCCCCGAGTCTGAAATTTGGGGTATAGGGGTAGCTCGGACCGGGGAGTAACACAGGCCAGGTGGCGTTAGTCTACAACTTCCAGTTTTGGAGTTATGACCCACTAGCGAAGCCGGTCTGTTCGGGGTTGGCGGGTACACTAGGTCTGCCCCGAGTCTGAAATTTGGGGTATAGGGGTAGCTCGGACCGGGCAGTAACATAGGCCAGGTGGCGTTAGTCTACCACTTCCGGTTTCGGAGTTATGATCCCAGAGCGAAGCCGGGTATCCTGCTAGTAATAATATAAAGTCTATATATCAATGGGTCCAACGTTTTTACAGTAAGGGGGTGGATTGCCGAATGCTTAGCACGTGCGCGCTGTATCGTGAGGTCTGTCATTGAGACAACAGGCGTGGTTTCGATTTCCCAGTTGTACGTGACAAGAAGTAGGGTCGCCTGTCCAACCTCGTGGGTTTTCTCCGGGTCCTCCGGTTTCTTCCCACTGCTAAAGACCCCTACGCGCAAGAGAATTATTGAAATAAAATTGAACCTTATGTTAGTCCCGAAATGACCTAGTTTGTATCAGGTGGACGCTCCCCCCTCTCTCTCTCTCTCTCTCTCTCTCTCTCTCTCCAGTAATGTAGTAGGTATACGATAAGACCAACCAATAGGTAATTACTTAACAACTAACACATGTGTGAGAGTGACAATTTCTGGTTTACAGACCACCTTAAAGAAAGAATGTTGAGATAATCGATACTATTAGGACCTAATTGTCATATTTAAAATTAAAAAAAATAAAACCACTTTGTCTACAGGGTGTCTGACGTATAGACCGGATAAGAAAAGTTTGTTCTGCCAATTAAGAAATATTGATAGAATATGATAAGACACGCATACGAAAAAAAAAAAATGATTTACAGTGTCGCATAAATCATAATAATTATTGTAGGTTTTTTTTTTAATTCTGTCAAAAGTCCTTCTGGTACAACTGGTATCCAGACAACTCATCCCAAGACCACTCATTCCAAGTTTAGAAGACAACTCATCCCAAGTTTAGAAGACCACTCGTCCCAAGTTTAGAAGACCACTCATTCCAAGTTTAGAAGACAACTCATCCCAAGTTTAGAAGACCACTCGTCCCAAGTTTAGAAGACCACCCATCCCAACAAATAAAGTGATAGGTTTATTTGTTTTAATTCATTTGTTTATTTTGAAGACGATTGACTTGGATTCATTTGATTTTCAAATAAAAAAAAGTGTTGTTTTAATCAAATTGAAATGAAATGAAATGGGGTTTAACGTCCTACTGTTCTGCTCCTATACTGGGCTAATGAAGACGGGTAATCAAATTGTCTTAATAAATTGATTATGTTTTAATAAAATTAATATTGATTATGTTTTAATAAAATTGATTATGTTTTAATAAAATTGATATTGTTGTTTTAATACAATTGATATTGTTGTTTTAATACAATTGATATTGTTGTGTTAATAAAACTGATATTGTTGTTTTAATAAATTGATTATGTGTCTGTTTTAATATTTTAATACATTGTTGTTTTAATAAAATTGATATTGTTGTTTTAATAAAATTAATATTGTTGTTTTAATAAAATTGATATTGTTGTTTTAATAAATTGATTATGTGTCTGTTTTAATATTTTAATACATTGTTGTTTTAAAAGATTAATAGTTGTGTTTGTTTTAATATTTTAATACATTTGTTGTTTTTTTTGTAAACTAACTAAAGTATACGGAATAAACAAAAAATGAAGGAAAAACTAAAAATGTCGATGTAATATAGATTAATTTAATAAATACATGTAATGGTAAAAAAACCCCAATAAATTGAGTATTTTATTGGTCCGAGTGATCTTATATCTCGGCCCACGTATTGAAACAACATGAGTAGTCTTCTATTGGGACGAGTGGTTTTCTAAACTTGGGATAAGTTGTCTTCTATTGGGATGAAACCGGAGGACCCGGAGAAAACACACGAGGTTGGAGAGGCGACCCTACTCCTTGTCCCTTACAGTTGACTCAATGACAGAACTTACTAATGATACATGTACAACGCACTAACCATTCGACCCCCCCCCCCCCCTTGTAATTTTGAACGTATACACTTAACATTTATATATAAAGCCATTGAGACATGTATTTAGCACTTATTAAATAGATAGACACTATAAGCTTATATAATTCTACTTGTCAACTTGTAAGAAATAATGTGTCTCGCCATTAACTCGTGTGTCATTTTAGTATTATAGACAAAGATAAAGCTCTGAGAAAAAACATAAATCAGACTCTAAAAAAACGGGCAGTAACATCTGTTTGACTTGATCTATCGTTTTGTTCTCAGGTAAACCTGCGAAATGTAGGACTTCTTTATTGATACTCACAGAAATCACTTTGTCGTTGGCATAATAGAAGTCCCACTTCCAAGTTGGATCGTCAACCTTGTTGAAAAAACTTTTATGAATGGTCAAAATCGATTTTAGATGTTAGTTTAAAGCAGCTAAGTCTCTAACTTAGTTTAAGTTAGAGACTGTTTAAATCCAAGCTGTATCCAAGCCATCCGTGGGTCTACAGAGTTGATTTTGAGCTTGTCGTGTAAATAAAGGTCTAATTATTAATTTCTATAACATATGAAGCCCAAAGAAAGACTTGCCATAGGCAGATTTAGCTCTTAGATAATGTATGTTTAAATGACAGTTGCCATGAATAATATGTGAAGGAGACGTGGTGAACGTCACGCCCAGTGTTGAGTACAGGAAGTGGATCGATTCGCAGGCGGAAGTGTTATGGTTTGGGGTGCCTTTTGTGGACATGTCTGTTCCCGACTTCTTGTTATCCAGACGGAAACGTTAATGCTGCAGAATATCGTGATCAAGGGCTAACTCCGGAGTGTCTACCCTTCATGGAAGCTAATGGCCCAGGCCTGGTCTTTGAACACGATAATGCCAGACCTCATACGGCAACGTGACAAGGAATGTACTCCGGAACGCGGGCATCGATTTCATGGGGCGGCGATGCATCGCAGTTGTGAACGCACGTGGGGTCATACGCGTTATTGACATCCTGTTTTGGGAACAGTATCCTAGTTGTGAATTAACATTTTCACTGTTAGACGTTTGGATGACTGTTCTGGTCGGAATGGGCACACTATGTACCTGTTATCTAGTGAAGGAACTTCGTCGTAGTGGTGCTCAGAATTAAATAATACTTTAGTCCATGCATTCTTTGCTCATATGTTGTAACTGGCGAACGTCAAACAGGTGTGACAGGTGAGAAGTTTTTAATTTGACTGATAAGTAAAATAAACACCCGCAACAAGATTGAACAGTCCCAAAAAATGTGACAAAAATCAGGGTAGGATCCAGGGATACTTAATGAATAGCAAACAGAGAGACAGAGAGAGAAATGGGGTTTAACGTCCACTCGACACAAACTAGGTCATTCCGTTACTAACACATTTTTCAGTTTTATTTCGATAGTCCGCTTGCGCGTTAGTGGTCTTTAGCAGTGCTAACCATTCGGCCATGCACCCCCCCCCCCCTAAATAGCAAACAACTCTAGGGTGTTTGAAAATATACACCGTCGCCGGGCAACGAATATACAGCCACAATCAGCATCGTGTGTAGAAAGATAATGTATCAAAAAGGTTCAAATGGCAATAACTGCACCAGAAATGTACCCATGATTTACAACGATGGGTTTCCTACTTTATTAGATTTTGAAGATTATTTCATTTCATCCCCAACTGCGTCACTGAAATATTATCTTGCCTGTACTATATCATGGATTCTTCCAACCATTTCCTATACTGTTAGTAAGGAGTTTGTTAAAGTTGCAATTTCATATTTTTAAGTTATATTTTTAAAATTTATTAAAATAAAGCCTTAAAATAGATGGTATCTATAAACAGTCCTACCTTGTTAAAGAATAATCCTATTAATCCTATAATTCACTATTGCCAGTTGAGAAATTGGCAAAAATATCATTTTCATCTTCAAATTCAAACGTTTGAAGATAGCTATTCCATGGTGGAGAATAGAAAACAAGGGAGGTAATTGGGAGGTAATTGTGTTATTATTTCCGGTGAAAATGAGTTTTAAGTGTGAGAATGACACCTATGATCGTATAATAGTGAGTTGACAACCTATTGAGCAAAAGACATAGAAATAATTATGTTTTGACTTTCTTAGACAATATGAAATTGTACTTTAAAGGTCTGTCATTGAGACAACTGGCGTGGTTTCGATTCCCCGGTTGTACGTGACAAGGAGTAGGGTCGCCTGTCCAACCTCATGTGGTTTTTTTTCTCCGGGGTCTCCGGTTTCCTCCCACTGCTAAAGATCCCTATGCGAATTACTGAAATAAAATTGAACCATATGTTTGTCTTCTGGGATATTTTCTTTGTTCATTACAAATGGCACTCCTAAACAGTACATATTGGATATTGAGATTTCATATTTACACGTCGAGATAACAACATCAACATTGGTTGAATTGGACTAATATTGAATTCTATTCCGTGTTTTGAATTAAGTTATGTTATCTAAATTAGTAATTAGACATTAATTAACTTATCCAGATCATAATCAACTCTCGATGGCATCGCTAGCCTGCGATATTTTCTGGATTAGAATCCTATCTGCTGCTTAACGTTAATGATAATTAAATCAAAAAATGGACAATCGAGACTATGTTTTTTATCGTATCGACTTTAGTAATGATGATCGAGGCTAGGCCAAAAATTCAATCGCTAAAATCTTGGTTCAGAGTGGATCAATTTGACTGAAATTTTCAGCAAATCCCCTTAACATTATCTAGTTTTTAACTATTATAGTGAGAACTGCCAGCTCTTTATCTAATCTCCCATAATGTATCTTTAAAATATCAATAAGAAAAATCTCTTTAATTATTCTTTCCTTTAAATGTTTGAATTGTGCAATAATTCGATCGGTTGTGATCTGGTCGTTGTTAGATTGGTTTGTTCTAAACCAATGATTCTTAACCAGTGTATCGCGAAATTTTCAACGGCACATTAAGAAATTGCGAAAAACCACGTGATCCCAATTGCGTATTCACTGGTGTCTACTGGTAAGTTCATAGCTCTGTTTTCTTTATTTGAGTCATTCTATGAGTCTATGTCTAGTCTCTTCTACGGTTGTATGCCGTCTGAATTACCATGTTTTTAATTTGCAAAATTCAAATATTTTTCATATATATATTTAAGTCAGGTGTGCCGCTAATTTTTTCACGTGTTTCAAGGTGTGCCGTTGGCATAAAATAAAGTCGAGAACCACTGTTCCAAACCAACCATTAAAATCCACAACCAGTAACGTCGCCCTCGCTCGAAAGTCAATGGCAATAAATTCCACTAAGCAAGTTTTAAAAATTCTATTATTAACTGCCGGTTTCATATTCACAAGGGGGGGGGGGGGGAGGGGGAGGGGGTCTAGAGTGCCGCGCTTCGAAACAATGAAACATTGAAACATAAGGAAAATGAAAAATAAGATTTGTCTGCGATATCACCTTCGGTACAAGCGGATCTGTACTATGGATTATGAAAAAAAATATTTAACGACATCGGACATTTATAACTTTATTAATCTATATTCAAATATTGCCATGCAAGCGAATATAACAGTATGAAAAATTACCCCGAAATATCACAGTATAAAAAATTATAACAATTGAAAATTACACTAACAAATATCACAATATGAATAATTACAAAAATATCACAATATGAATAATTATAAAAATATCACAATATGAATAATTACAAAAATATTACAATATGAATAATTACAAAAAATATCACAATATGAATAATTACAAAAATATTAAAATATGAATAATTACAAAAATATCACAATGTGAATAATTACAAAAATATCACAATACGAATAATTACAAAAATATCACAATGTGAATAATTACAGAAATATCACAATACAAAAATATCAATTACAATTTCCGCATTTTGAAAAAGCATAATAAATAAATTACGTAAATGAACGACATGCATGCATTACAAACATCAAGGCTTTATGAACGCAAGACACTAGTATGTTACAATAAGAAGACTAATATCACAATATGAAGAATTACAAAAATTATCACAATATTAAATAATTACAAAAATATCAAGTACAATTTCCGCATTATGAAAGAATATAAAAAATAAATTAGGTACATGAAAGCGATGCATGCTTTACAAACATATGTTGCATTAAGAAGGGCTAATACTGGACGGAAAATGATACTTTAATGGACGGTACCAGGGATCAATTAAAAAGTCCCTTAACGCACTTATAACGACAGAAATTGCATAAAAGATTTTTTGCAATAATACAAAAGCGGTATCAGGCCCCAAGTTCACAAAGCATTCTCAGACTTAAGTTAAGAATTTACTCAAAATTTACTCAATATAGCCCTTTATAAACTTTTGCTGTTTTAATATATCAAATACAGCAATAAGAAACTATGTGCAAAGTTTGGTGTTTCTGGATCAAATATATATCTCATAAACAGTGATTAAAAGTTGAGTAAATTCTTAACTTAAGTCTGAGAATGCTTTGTGACCTCGGTGCCAGATCTTGTGGAATGACGAAGCTTAGGACCAAGTTAAATAAAGTCATAGTCCACAGTAATCCAGGGTTGAATCATTAATTATAATGCTACTGTGAGATATATACTTATTTCACAGTAAATTCAACACTTTAATCCGAGACAACATAAATAAATTAAAATCATTTAAAATGAAATACTTATCTGAGAATCGATTTATGATATAAAAATAAATTTATCTTATACAATTCCATTAATCAACGGTACTTTGAGTAATTCAAATAGAAAATTAAAGATACATTATGTAAGATTTAGATAAAGAACTAGCCATTCTTGCTATAATAGTTCGAAAATAGATAATGTAAAATGAATAATTTGAAAATGTCATTCAAATTACCATATTGCGAGCGAAGATATTAGCTTTTCAAGGTTTGACAAGACGTGTACAATAATTTCAATCACCGGTACCGGTTGTTCGAAGCTAAGTCTCGCTCCTCCATTTTTAGTTTAAATCAAAATATGGCTGAACTGTTCCAATCTATTTAATATCGGACAAATCCGATGCCACCGAGAGTTGATTATGGCCCGGGTAAGTTCATTAATGTCTAATTAATAATTTAGAAAACATTGCAGGCCTAAAGAAAGACCTGCAATAGGCAGATTTAGCTCTTGCATAATGTATGTTTAATTTACTACAAGACATTTTTCTCATAAATCATTATTTTATTTCTGGAAGTCATCTTAACAAATACTAAAAATAATACTTCAAAGTTCTAAACCATTTCTGTTTTGGTGTTGGGGTTTGGATTTCTTTTAGTGTGCCACGCAAATTTTTAGGTAAAATATTACATATTATATTTGGACTATCAGATTCCTGATTAAAATACAGATCTATATTTCGTTTCGTTTTTTTATACTTTCGACGTCCTTCTCTACATGAAGATCTGACCGGTTGTAGTGGAAAGTCGGGTCAGAGGTCATACACGCGGCTTTTGACCCTATGACGTCAGATTCCTTGGGTTTTTGTCAAGGTAATGTCTAAGATATATCTTATGAATGAGAAGTAAAATAAAATAATTAATATTAAAACAAACTTATGTTATCAATGAATTTCTATCATGTTTTTAAACAAAACTTATTGTAAATTAAAATCATCCAATATCATTTCATATGACGCACATGAGACAGAATTCAAATAACAAGCTCGTGGTTAATAATCAATTAACAGGTACACAATACAGCGCACAATTATATAACAAGCGTTGGACGAGAACACAATAAACGATCCAGCAGGGACAATCTGATATAAATTTTTAAGACGATCAAAAAATGTATTTCATACAATAATGTATTAAATGTTTTCGAGATCAAGGACCCAAGGGCGTATAGCTCTATTGTCTGGAACTTAAAAATAAACGAAAATGAGTCTAAAATCACATATAAATGTAAAATGAATGTATATAAACTGGTTTATATTATAAAAATATGTATGTTCGGTGAAATACGTTAATTTCTTCCACATTTTGAATGTTGAATATCATGGATAATATTAAGTTGGAGCTATTCGATATTTAATGTGTTTGTTGTCCGCGTCTTATCAGAAGCAAATAACTAATTGAGTTAAGCAAATCGTCCGCTATTTCTTAAAGAAAAGAAAGAAAAAAAACATAACAAAGCTGGGTTACGAAATGATGTTTGAAAATGAAACTATTTACCCCATCACCATAATAGTACTCTTCTATAAACTCCAATATTCATAGGTTTCTCGCAATTTGAAATATTATAGAATAAATGTTTCCAACACTGACTAGAATCGACTGTAACATTAAATACATAAGTACAGTTTTACGGAAAAGTTGTTTTTTTTAGAGATTTAAAGTTTTCATAAATAATGGCCTTGCCATTTAAGATAAAAGTTAAGTCATATCTAAGTTCCTTTTCCAAACGTAATCGACCGTCTAGAAATATAAATTAACCATATGAAATTGCTTCTGTGATCTTTAATGTTATCAGACAAGATCGCTTGCTCGTTTTCTTAATATTTTGTACGCAATTTGGAAATTTATGCTATTAGCTCAACCTTCAAATTTTCGAACATTTCAAAGCAAAAAAAACCCATGTCATTTGGAACCTACAAGACTGGTTCGGTTTACGGAGTTTCACTCACTTTCCCCACTTTATTTTTCTTGTTTTTACAGCAGACAGCTATGATGATAATCAGACAAAGGAGAGCCACTCCACCACCAGCACATGCTCCAATTAACACACCATTGCCCGACTTTGCTTCTTCTGTAGGCGTTGCCTTTTGTGTAACATTTACGCTAACCTTGGTACTATCTGCACCCAAGACATTTTGGACAACTATTTTCCACACACCGTTCTGGTCCATCTTGACTGATTTGATCGTCAATGTTCCATTGTCGGAAACACTGTAGTTCTTATTATCTTCCAGATCATCTGTGTGTATAGCAGAAGCACCGCCAGGTGGGTTCCAAGTAATATCTGGGAAAGGATCTCCGTCTATTATACAGGATATATCTCCTGGTTGACCTTCCTCTACAGCCAGCTTCTTGCAGTCCTTGATACTAGCCGGTGTACATGCTAGCTGATCATCGGGAACATCCACAAGATTTTTGTAGATAAGATTATCAGGACCTTTGCAAACCACAACTCTGTCAGCACTGTAGGCTACTGTGTCATAGATAAATTTAGATGGCAAATTTTTAATCCATTTCATACCACAGTTACACTGCCATGGGTTGTTCCCCATATTTAAAGATTGTAGTTTCGACAACGGTGTCTCCAAATCCTTATCCAAACCCTTAATCCGATTACTGCTTATGTCCAACGATACCAAATTTTTTAATGGATCGAAGAGGCTCTTTTCTAGTTTTCTTAAATCATTGCCCGCTATATCCAAATGAAGTAAACTATCAAGACCCCTAAAGGAGCTGATATGCAAAGTCCTTAAATTCATATCAGCTAGATACAAGTTCCGAAGTGAAGGTAGGTTTGCTACTGCACCTGGCTGAAGTTCGCAATATTCATTACCACTAAGATTAATATCTTCCAGATCATAAAGACCGAGAAACAACTGTTGATAAATGGTGGAGATTTTGTTAAACGTTAGATCAACTCTTTTTAATTGTTTCAAATCTAGAAAAGTATCTTGATCAACTGTCTTTACCTGTGCGAAAGTTATAAATATTTCCTCTAAATCACCGAGTCCTTTAAAATCCAATTTTCTTAGCCTTGGGATGTTGAATTGGGCACTTGGTTTCCCTAGAATCACTAAAGATTTGGTGGATTTGGGTATTCCTTTCGGAATTTCCGTCATGGAATCATCGTCACAAATTACACGGTCGTTTTTAGTTAAGCAATAGTCGTCGTAATCTGCGACAACCAGACATACATGCACCATAATAATCATAATAAATTTGAAGAAATTCATTGCCCACATTTTTTTTACAAGATCAATACTACTTATATATGTATAGGTACTTTTCGGGATCAATTTAACTGTTTTTGTTTAAAAAATGAAAAATCTGAAACACTTTGAATTGCCAAAAATTCTTTCGGGTACCGTCTGGTTATAAACGCAGCTTAATTTGAAATCCCACCGTATTTAAACGGACCTTAAGTACCAAAGGATTAAAACTGCTTTCGTCGGTGTTACAAGTACCTTCGAGTACCTGTCACATTGGCCTATTCGAGTCTTTGGTCCAATCAGAAGGCCCTGTGCCTTCAGGAGGCGTGGTAGAACAAATAAATGGCATGATATATATATGTGTCTTTTTTGATTGGCATTTAGTAATTGAACATATTAACACAGGGCCTATAATTTAATGGATACACAATTACTGATTTTAATACTAAGCGACGTTACCGACGTGGATATGATAAAGATGAAAGTATTCTCATCGAAACGTCGCTTAGTATTAAACTCAGTAATTGTGTATCTATAAAATTGTACCTTGTGTTAACATATATGTGGACGAAATCATAAATTTACATCCGACTCTTTTATGATAATCTATCAGTTTTCATTAATCACAAATACAAGATACAAAAGTGATAGGGGATTATGAGCAGACAAAACGAAAAATATGTTTCAGTTAATAAGAGTACCTTGTCACATGAATTACAAATACCACCACCAGATACAAGAGCGATAGGGGATGATGAGCAACTGGGGCTAAACGAGAAACAGGTTTCAGTTAATAAAAGTACCTTGTCACATAAATTCAATACGTACAGGACCATGCTTGTATAAATCTTATAAATCTTGGCGATTCCGTTCATAATTCACCCCATGGATTCAACCAGAAAATGCTTGATAGATATATATTATTCTAAAATTAGGATTTTTAGCAAGCTAACACCCCCTTCTCCTTGCTTCTAATAAATTCATAACATTTGTTTCTTATTATTAATCTCGCTACCAATAAATTTATTATATTCGTTTCTTATTATTAATAAATTCATCCTACTTTTACAATCCGCCATATATACCACCGCCCGTCGGCGTAACCAACCCAAACCCAAAATCATATCAAAGTTTACGTTTACATTACTGTGTATCTAACACGACCGAACTACTCCCGGTAATTAAGTATAAATCATTGCCTGTTTACCCAGACATGCCATAATATTTTTATTAATAAACTGTAACTTTTGACTACAGGCTATTGATATGACACTGCGATTAAAAAAGGTGGCTCCACACCTGAAACCCTAATCTGAACACACTGCACGTGTAGTAAGGTATTTTATCAGTGGGATCAACCCTCTCTATCTAATCCTTGCACACCAAATGAAATAAATACTAATACCCAATAATACAATACGTCACGTTTGTGAATCATTGAAACAAAAACAAACCCGGAGAGCAAATAATGACTGTATATCTATAATGGTCTGTATTTGGTAATTAACAAATTTGTGAGCTGCTAATGGTAGGTCGGGTGCGGAGGTTCAGGAATTTCCGATGATTGCCGAATCCATTCCCATAAATGAGTATTTTGGGAGAATACCAACCCTAACCCTAACCCTTTTAAGAAGAGTGAACTTGAATTTAATTTACCTTTTACCCCTCTTAAAAGGGTTAGGGTTGGGGTGAGTATTCCCCAAAATACTCATATAAATTTAAAGCGGTCAACTTGGACTCAACTTCGGTCTAATTTACCGTCGGGAATTCCCGAACCTCCCCATCCGGCCTACAATAAGTATCTTCCAACTAGTTAGGCGGACATGTTCCCTTAAAGGTTTTGTACAATGTCGTAGGGGGTTGGATGGCCGAATGGTTAGCACATGCGCGCTGTATCATAAGGTCTGTCAACTGGTGTGGTTTCGATTCCCGGTTGTACGTGACAAGGAGTAGGGTCGCCTGTCCAACCTCGTGGGTTTTCTCCGGGTCCTCCGGTTTTCTCCCACTGCTACGCGCAAGCGAATTTTTGAAATAAAATTAAACCATGTGTTAGTCCCGAAATGACCTAGTTTGTGTTGAGTGGACGTTAACACACTCTCTCTCTCTCTCTCTCTCTCTCTCTCTCTCTCTCCAATGTCGTAATTTTGTCAACCAGGTTAGAAAATGAACAAGATGACTTGTCATCAACATCCCGCGCCCTTGCACTTGTTTGGAAGAAATAAGGAAAAGTAACTTGTTTATGCTATTGGTAATCAATATAAAAATGTATCAGATTTCACAAACAGTGTCACTGGTCCTAATATTGTGGCCCTGTTTAGTAGATATTGCTCTCTATTTCTGAAAACTAATGACTGATTGATATTTACTAGAAGATTTGAGATAATTTATGAAATTAAGCTCTGGTTTTAAAAATTAGACATGACTACATAGAAAATAGAGATATTTTGCAAGTGGAGGGAACTGGAGCTTTAGACAAATCTCATATTCCGACACATGGAATATCAATTCACAGAATTTGTACACCAAAAACTAAGTAAAATTTGTTTCCATGAAAACACAAAAAATATAAATCTCAGAAATTCCTAAATAGCAAAAGGCACAACTACTGTAATAGGTTGATGTGTGTGCAAAGTTTCAGAAAGATATCTTGAACGGTTTATGAGATATGCTCCGGAAACACCAAAAACTAAGTCAAATTTGTTTCCATGGAAACACAAAAAATTTTACAGCAAAAACTAAGTCATTTTTGTTTCCATGGAAGTTTCAGAAAGATATCTTGAACGGTTTATGAGATGTGCTCCGGAAACGAAATCGGACGGACGGACGGACGAACCCCATTTCAATATCCCTCCCTAACTTCGTTCGGCGCGGGATAAAAATGAATATAAATCAGGGATAAGACCTTTCTTCAGCACTGTAGTTCAAGTATGGTTACTCCTCGAAGCACTGAGCTTGATGCTCCTACACCAATCGGTCTAGGGAAAACACTGAGCTTGATGCTCCTACACCAATCGGTCTAGGGAAAACAATCTGATTCAAATACAGATCCAATTTCGTTCACTACACTAGGATCTGGAAGAGTTTTTATAATACCCGCGTTCTGGATGATGTGAGGGATTAGCCAATGAAACGGTCTGTTACGGCGACTTCTTGGCCTGCTCTGCACGGACGGAACTGGGGGGTAAACCCCTAGAAACGTCAACGCTGATCGGTTTGTCAAATTCTGACGTCATATGGTCGAAAGTCGCTCGTATGAAACCATTGTAATAATATTGCTAGAATTTTTGCTCTTGAAATTAATGGTGGCAGTATATTTCATTAATTAATATCTTTGGCAAGTTGGTAGATTCCCACATATGTAGAATTGTACTAAATCAACTCAGTCTGTAATTGACATATTGTTATATAAAAAAGAGCTATTTAGCCAAAACAGGTGTCAATAATTTACCACCAGATAACATGTGAGTGGAATTATTCTAATTGCATCATTTGGCATAAAGTAACCAATCATATCGTTAATTGCACAGGTTCAGGGCCATGAACAGGCTTCCTGTGCATGGTAAACGTGAGTGCTATATAAGATATCTATGGTAAACTTTTAAGTTAGACTACCATTAGATTCCAGAGCGGTTCCATCTGAGTTTCTAGACAGCCGCGAGGCTGGCTAGGGTTGAGATATGGTTTTAGCTAGTATTGTTATCTATTATGCTTGTATCCATATGTATTCGGTTATGCTATATAAAATGTAGAAGCGAATTGTTGCATTGTTATTCCTGGTAAGACAAACGTCTTAAGAAACTGTAAGAAGTAAATACACAACGTGAAGCAGAAGTAAAGACAGCCAGAGACAAATTCTAGACGATCACAAGGCTACAGAAATATGTAGTAAGAAAAGATGCATGGGTCGTATGTAGGATGTGGCGACTGGTTTTCCGACATATACGCCCGCTCTCCACGTCTGACAGAAAGGCCCATGGTGCTACACCATGGCGCGATCTTCAAGTACAACCGGTCAGATCTTCGTGTAGTGTAGGCCATCGAAAGTATAAAAACGAAACGAAATAAAGATGTGTATTTTAATCAGATTGTAGGGAAAATATCTTCGATGAGAATAACCTTGATTAAATAATAAGACCAGTGCCTCGATAATCTGATTCTTTCAAAAAATATCACGGTATTTTCTGTATTATGCTCTTTTAGCAGCAGATCGATCTGGAAACGATCAATTACGATCTGCGCAGTACTAAAAGCACGCTAAAAAGAAATGTCTTTTCGCCAAGATGAATTGGAGAAACAATAGAAAATGCTCACCAGAAGCTGAGGTCGCCGAGCAGTTATGCTCTAAACAACACATACATATGCATACAGATCTTTCTATAATTGAAGCCTTTATGGTGGAAATCGTTGAAAATCAACAAGGTTATCCTTTCTATAGCTGGCTATCGACAGTGATTTTTACTATCGATAATCGACATTGAAATGTCGATGGATAATCGATAGTATCGTAACAAACTTATTTTTACGGTAGTAACCTTACCAAGACCGGATTACGTGTTTAAAAGTCAAAACCATACGATGTTGCGATAGATGTTTTTTTGTTCTTCTAATCAATAATAAACTTTCTCATATTACATATATAAATTGTTGTTTATTTTTAAAATAATGTAGCATTGGTTCCGAATGCAGAAATACCGTATGTGGAGAAATCAAACTAAAATGAACACAAGTCGATTCAAAACACTGCGTACGTGAGCGCGACAAATACCAATATGGCGGAAACTTCGTTGTCGATTCGCATGCCAAAAGCAGTGACAAATTAATAAAGAGCTTGTTATCACGAATTCGTAAATTGTTTATTAATTTATTAAAATAATGTAGCCTTGATTCCGAATGAAGAAATAAAAGCGTTTTGTCATCCATGAGTGCTAAGTCATTTGCACTTTATCATTATAATAATGAACAGACGAATTCTGAAAGCGGGAAAACTGTTGTCATCTCATATCATGCACCTCCAAATATTTCAATGACATTCCTCGTCTGTGCTGTCAATTAATTAAATGAAATCAAGTAATATGGGGTTGAAGGTCTTGTTTTTTCTGCCCCAATCGGGTAATGAAGACAGCTAATGAAGATCGACATACGCCTGGGACCCGGGCTCTTATTCACGAAAACTTAAACTAAGTTAAAACCGAAATTTTAAGAAATATTGCAACTTCATTGGATATATGCAAATTGATTTTACTGGTCAGCCATGCAATCGAATTGCAGTATTTCTTAAAATTTCGATTGTATCTTAGTTTAAGTTTTCGTGAATAA